TGTCCGACCACTCAGCTCAGAAGGAGACAAATAAATGATTAGTGTTGATTGACAGCGCTGGCATCGGGCACACAAGCTCTGTCAATCAGCACTCATCAGGGGGAGGGGTTAACACAGATCACAACAAAAAGACTTTAAATAGTAAATGCCGCCGAAATCTCAATTTCCCTGCTGTCTCCTTTACAATAGCAGAGGATCAGTCAGTGTTGGCGGGGCTGTGTGAAAGATATGTCGGCTTCTAGTAAACATCCAATGTCAGGGGATATACCAGCCCGCCAACACTGAGTGATGATCTACTATTATAAATGATACAGCAGGGAGCCAGAGACAGGTGGCAGCAGAGTGCGGCTCAGTGTCAGAGGTCCATGTGTGCCAGAAGTTGGGAAGTCTGTGCAAGGCTTAGTAAGCTGCTGGCAGGTGAGCCATAAGGGATGTGACCCGCAGTGACGGGAAGGTGAGTCATGGGAACTCGCTCATTCCCCTGCACTTTACTTATTTAATTTCTGGGGAATGTTTACTAGCAGCTGCCATGTGCCATTTACCCCTTCTGAATATGTTAGTTAGTTCTTCCTTGTCATGCTGACCCAAAGATGCAGATCAGGAACACTACAGTCGGAAATGCTGATCTGCATAACTGTTCCAGGACAGAAACTCTTCATTGCCGACACAAAAGGCCCAGCAAGCAAGCAACCAGCATGTTCAGAAGAAGAGGCCAGCAATGGCAGCCTCCATGTTTCTCAGTTATTTCGGTAAAGGTTTCCATAAAAGCCCACAGTAAGGGTGGCGATACAGATTGCTCAATAATACATTAATGTTTCACATACAAAAGCTTTCGGCTAGATTGGAATTGACTGAATTACCTGTAAGCAGTGCAGCTCCCACAGTGCCGAACTCTGTGCATTGCAGTATTCTGGCTCATCAAGCTCTGGTAGATAAAGTCCACTTCCCTGGGATTCATTGTCTAACAGAATGTCTGTCTTTGGGAATGTCTGAAATGATAAATATAATCACTCCTTACACATATAATCTGCAGGCTTCTGGAAATACACAGCGAATTCTTAAACTATATTGTGGAAAAAAAACAAAATCAGGTCTGAGCATGTCAGCCCCTTAAAAAATACCTCAGAGATGGTAACTGGGGACAAAGAGAAGGCAAATCTATTAAAAACTTTCTTCAGCTCTGTGCACAGCAAGTAACAGGATGTAACTCAAGTCCATAATGGGGATAGCAGTGCCATAGCCTCTAATGAACCACAATGGCAGACTATTGATATGGTCCAGAAACAGTAAGACAAAATTAAGGTGAACAAAGCACCTGGTCCAGATGGCTTACACCCACGTGTCCTCAAAGAATTGAGCTGTGTAATTTCAAAGCCATTGTATCTCATTTTTAGACACTCTAATGACTGGCTTGATACCGATGGATTGGCGCAAGATACTTGAAAGTTTGATCAATGATCACATGCAATTGTTTTTGCTCAAACGCCCCCCCCCCCCCCCCATGCGGCTTTAAGGACTTACCTTAAATGATGCCTCTTGAACGATCATCTTCCTTCCAGTTGTATTATGCAATCCCTCCAGCGCTGGTGCCGGTCTCTGATCCATCACAGACTCCTATCTCTTCCTGTCCCACGGAGTTCGACATGCACGCTCCCAGGTGCGTGCATTCAGCTCCACTGTGTCTCTGCTTTTCTTCCCGCCAAAAATCTCTGCTGCGCATGAACCCGTCCCATCATGCTGCACGGCTGCTCGAGAAGCTTCAGATCTTCAAATGGGAGCGAGTGGAGGAGACACAGGAACATTTTTGCCTTTTTGGTAACTTTATTTGTTAATGCTTTTGCATATATCTACTGCTTGGTAGATATATGCAAAAGATTTAAAACGCGGGAGGATGAACCGTAACCAACATACATGGTCCATATAAAAGGCTTTGGAAAATGAGCAACAAAGCTCAACTACTGACAAATGTAACCGTTTCTTTCAATGAACATATCTGGTTTCCTTGTACATGTCTGAAGTATCTATTGTCACCAAGAGGAAATATCTCAACCATGTTTTTGTCCTGTGAGGACTGTATACACAGCTGGAAATGTCATGCTGGGCACAACACACACTTGTAGAACCTCTATGAAGCTGAACAAGGAGACAAGAAGTCAACATGCCTTAAAAAGGACGACCCCCTCTATTCTCTATGGTAATGCAAGTTAGCTGCTTAATAAACGCTGAACTCCCAGGCAGAAAAAACTCCACTTCCTGCAGTTCTGCATTCCTTTACAAAATAATTCAATGGATTTTACCCCTAACTAGCTTATGCACCTCAATCTGTCTTGATATCAGACCCCGTCATCCCCGGCACTGCAGCACCCAGAATGTGAAATAGACGGGTACACTAGGAGCTGCTGATCAGCCTGCTGCAGACACACACGTGTGCTGACCGCGAACATACTAACACGAAGAGAAAGCAGAGTTTATCAATGTGTTGCCACTTCGGCCTAATCAGCAGGCTGCAAGGAGAAGGTGACAGCACAGAATTTATTAATGTATCTAAACCCAAGAACAGACATGTCATATATTGCAGCTCACCAGTCCTTACATGTGGTGACTGCATACAGAAAAATCCTGCTAGAACTCCTGTGACCTTGAAATGATATCTCAAACAAACGGAACCCAGTGCCCGAAGGTCACATGCACGTTAGTCCCACATCGTCACGTCAAATAGGGTCTGCACATAGCACTCCAAAACCCAGACTGCACTGAGCTTTAGCAGCGATGTAGAGAAGAGCCTTGAAGTAAAGCGATGTAAAAAAAAAATGTGCTAACAAAAACAGGTTAGTCTTTTACAAAAAGAAAAGACCTGCATCCTCCTAGGAAACTAGCAAAAAATTGTGGCAAGCAGGAGGGGTCATTCTGGGATGACCTACAGTTTGTTGATCAGCATCCAATCCTCCTGTAAACAGCAGTATAACCCGACAGTGAATAACTCCTGTGTACTTCAATGGACGAGAAAGAAACAACTAGTTGTTCTGATCAGTTACACACAAGTGTGTACTGGAAACAGTATTAGGATGACAGTACCAGAGAAGGCACCTTTAAGGACAAGACATTGATGGAAGATTCAGCCTTCATAGGTTTCTTTTTATATGTCAGCACTTAGCAAATTGCCAAGAATAAGCAAGCATATATGAAGGCAGATCTGATAAGGGCAACACCACAAACCCTGGGGCCCATCCTCTGAGGGGTGTGCAGGCCCATCAACTATTTATTACTAGGAATTTGTCACCCAATGCCTTTTTTAGGTGACTTACTAGACTGCCAAAAGCCCCAAAATAGCTGTCCATAACAGAGAGGAATGTAACTCCTGTTGGGGCTGGTGGAGGGGGGGTTGTGAAGTATGTAGTGCTACTGGGTGACTAATTATGTCACCTCTGGCTGCCATGTCAGTGAGCGCCTGTAGCTTTTAGAGAATAAAAAGTCAGACTATAATTATGGCCCTAAAACCAACTCCATATACTTGGCCACACCCACAACGTGTTGCACCTACCTTCTATGAAACGGTTTCCTGCTTGGTGGAAGATGAGATCATCTTTCCTGGGGCCTATGCTGGCAGGTAATTCAGAGTCATTCCGACTCGCTAAATAGTGATCCTTACCAACCCACATTTACCGTCTTCGTTTCTGTGACCTTTTTACATTTCTTTAGTCATTTTAAACTGCCTGGCTTAGCCAAATGAATGAGGATAAAGATAAGAGATTGATAACTGTTTGCTTGTTTACTTACTTGCAGGAGCCCTCTGTTGGTGGACAGGATGCCAATGGATGAATTGGGCAGTACGTGCAGCGCCAGAGTAGAAAGTCTTTTTACAAAGGCCAGGGCTCTCTGATGGGAAACTTGTTTTCTACGTTTTGTCAGCATCAGTTCCAGACACTGGAGTGCAATGAGTGTATCGTCATTTGTACAACCTGCAAATCAGAGACTCCATCAGTGCACACAAAGTAGTAAACAATTAACATATCCAATAATTGTGTAATATCTATAGAAATACAGGATCAGTACTGAACATGACAAGTACCTTGAGCTGCTTAACATTACATAACCAAGCACCGATTTTCTATTGTTGGGGTACCAGTAAAAAGGCACTGCTTCTCATATGATGATTAGTCAACTTGCCTAACTAATGGTTAATATACATGAATATTCAGAGCCTGCCCTGTATAAATGAAACTCAGCATCAGCCTGGCAAATGCTAACGGCCCATATAAGTATATACACAGTGCTACAGAAAATCCCTGCAGGAATGACAGCACTCTGTCAGCAGCCCCAGGCTTATGAATAAAGTTATAAAAGTTGTCCTGTTCTAAGGTAGTTATAATGTTTTTGTTTGGTTTTTAGGTTCCCCCCAAGATTCCAAAATGTCTAAGTAATATCAAACCATTTATAGGGAGCAGTGCCGCGTCCTTGTCAGTGATTTATTGAAATGGCAGCAGAGACTACAGCACAATTCCGGACAACGTAGATTTAGAACTGCTCCTCCCTGGCTGGAAGTGATCAGTTTGGAAAACTCTCTCTTGTCACTTTAAGCCATGGTGTGTGTGGTCTCCAGAGAAATTAATGGTGTAATCTGTGGTGTTACTTAGCAGATCTCTGTGCTGGATGTGCCAGGTAATGGCACACATTTCTACACGCACACTACGAACTGTATATGATTAATAAAGTTACCAAAATTTCAATAATCGTACTACACCAGAAAAGCAATGTGGATTGAAAATCAGCCAACATGGGAGGCTCAAATGGGAGCATACCCTGTAAAGCAGCCTGCTATATGCTACACTCCTTACACAAGGTTTACGGAAACATTTGGGTGCGCGGATAATAACAGTACAAGAGTAGAGGATACAAATGAACATCATTTCAGCACGGAAATGTATAAGTAACGTACATTCTATTTGCTAAAGGTAACATTTTCACTTCGTTAAGCAGTAAACTTTGGGTGCTATTCTTTCACTCAAGTTTCCTAATGTTATGTATTCTGTGTCTGGCTCGCATGAATGGAAACATGGAATACATTTCGTTCCAGGGGAACAAGACAAGCAGTGTATGATTGATACTTTTCTTAGGACTTGCACTGTCCAGACCACAGCACGGATACATGGAAAAACACATGCCAGCTCCTATACAATGTCTCATCAATGCACTCTAGTGTGGTGTATAGAGCAGTCCGCAGCTCAGGACCAGTTCACAGCATTACTAGTGTGAACTACAAGCAAAGCGAAGAGGATACAGCAAGACTTATGGGATCTCTCTCAAGTGAAAGGTCATGAGAAACGGCTCTGCTATATTCCTCTGGCGTCCAAGGGATCTTAAGCTGAGCAAAATGGGAAATCCCAGAGAGATAGTGCCAAGAACATGTGCGTATATGTGCACCGCAGTACACAAGCGTGAAACGGTGCTTTGCAAAGCTTCCTTGTACGTATGTGCGTGTGTACTGATCTAGGTCCTATATCCAATGCCAAACTGCCATAACGGAGGGGAAAAAAAAGATGGCAATATCTATGTATGCTGCTGCTGCTGTTTTTAATTAACTCTGACAAGCACATAAATATATAAGCATCCGTGCACTAAAACAGTATAGCCATAACATGCACATAAAAATTCCCACTTAAAGAGATCCATAAATTACATGCGACATTCAGTTTCCACACCTCATTCTAGTACGTTTCTACCCACATTATTTCTCGGCTCCCAGCTACCCAGACGCAGCCTCAGTACTGCACACCTGCAGTTTTAGTTATGTGTCGTGCAATAATAATCATTGCTTAAAAAAATAAAATCCGGGGACATGTTTAAATGTCCCCGGGAACATTTTTAAATGTCTCCGGGAACATAAAACATTTTTTTTTTTTAATACTCACCTGATCCAGCGCCAAGTGCAGCCTCCCGTCTCCCACGCTGTCAGAAGCTTGCGCGCGCTGCGTGCAGATTCTGAGAAGATACACTATTGGCGTAGTGGGCGCTTTGCAAAATGCGCAGCCAGCTTCCTCGCTACGCTAATAGCGTATCCTCTCAGAAGCTGCACACAGCGTGCGCTAGCTTCTGACAGCGTGGGGGACGGGAGGCTGCAATTGTTGGTGGATCCAGGGATCAGGTGAGTATTAAAAAAAAAAATGATTTTATGTTCCCGGAGACATAACGTGTCTGTGGATGGTCTCCTCAATCCGTTCCGCCCCCCCTCCCCCTTGCCGCTGCTAGACCCACCCGCCTGCATCCACGCTCCACACCTCCTCCCCACCTCAAACTCACCGCCCGCCTACATCCATGATCGGCACAGGGACGCGGGGAGAAGTAAGGAGGAGCAGGTGTGGGGGGATGACAGCCTCCGACAGACAGGCCCGATCTCAGAAGCAAGCAAGTTGCTGGAAGACTGCTCTACCTGAGCTTGCACCCCCCCACATGGTGCTCTATAATGTATTGCTGGGATTTGTATTTCTCTATAGCTGATGGTACATGGTGCTGTATATTATACATAGGACTACAAATCCCAGCAATACATTATGTATGTATAATGTACTATTGTTGGGATTTGTTGTACTACTCTATAGCTGGTGGCATTCTGCATTGCGCTGTATAGGGGACTACAAATCCCAGCAATAATATATTATACAGCGCAATGCAGAATACCTCCAGCAATAGTACATGATAGCTGGTGGTATTATTCTGCATTGCTGTACAATGTATTTCTGAGATTTATAGTCCTCTATAGCTGATGGTACATGGTGCTGTATATTATACAGAGGCCTACAAATCCCAGCAATAATATATTATACAGCGCAATGCAGAATACCTCCAGCAATAGTACATGATAGCTGGTGGTATTATTCTGCATTGCTGTACAATGTATTTCTGAGATTTATAGTCCTCTATAGCTGATGGTACATGGTGCTGTATATTATACAGAGGCCTACAAATCCCAGCAATAATATATTATACAGCGCAATGCAGAATACCTCCAGCAATAGTACATGATAGCTGGTGGTATTATTCTGCATTGCTGTACAATGTATTTCTGAGATTTATAGTCCTCTATAGCTGATGGTACATGGTGCTGTATATTATACAGAGGCCTACAAATCCCAGCAATAATATATTATACAGCGCAATGCAGAATACCTCCAGCAATAGTACATGATAGCTGGTGGTATTATTCTGCATTGCTGTACAATGTATTTCTGAGATTTATAGTCCTCTATAGCTGATGGTACATGGTGCTGTATATTATACAGAGGCCTACAAATCCCAGCAATAATATATTATACAGCGCAATGCAGAATACCTCCAGCAATAGTACATGATAGCTGGTGGTATTATTCTGGATTACTGTATAATGTGCTGAGATTTGTAGTCCCTCGACAGCTTGGAGTTAGTGGCAGAACTATCAGGGTCGCAACAGTCATGCACGCGCCCAGCACTGACAAGGCATCCCTCCACTATCAGTGTTCTATAATTTTCCTCAACCGATAAATTTCTCTACCGCGTCTCTCCCAGGTGTGCATGAAGAAAGGGGGTCATGAGAACAGCTGATTCGGATGACGCGGCCCCACTGGAAGTGACAGTCGAGAAAATGTATAGGATCGAGAAACAATTTAGAACACCGACTTTGACACTGTCCGGCCCCTCCCACAGCTCCCAGCCCAGAAGCATGGACAGCCAGCGGCGGTCTACAGTGGGCGAGAGTGCCTAAGTCCCGGACATGGAGCGGAGTAAGGCCAGAACTATGTAGGGAGCCCAGTGGGAGGAGAGCACCATCCCCTAGCCAGTCACCCCTTTCATGGACTTACTAGGAGTCCTCACATCTCCAGACCATACATACTACCGTTACATGGATGGCAAAAGTGGCAGACAGGGGCGGGGAGAAGGCGGGGGAAGAGGCAGAGTGGGAGGGGGGCCAAGTTGCTGCAACTTGGGCCTCTGGGTTGTACTTGCCCCCTGGGCTAAAACTTGCCAGTCAGCCCCTGTCCAGACCAGAACAGTTTGTTCCCTGACCAAAAAAGCATCCCAATGTATCCCTATGGTACCTTCTGCACTCTGTTCGCACCAGTGCAGTCCGTCCTGGACCAGACAAAAAAAATACTGCTAGTGCAATTTTCTCTGGTCTAGAATGCACTGGAACGCATACAGACGCACTGGAACACACTGTACTGCACCTGAAAGCCCATTTTAAGCTAAAAAAAAACCTGCTCCGGAACGGGGCAAAACATAATGCACTGCAGTCCAGATCTGGTGCGGTAAATGGTGTGAACCTGGCCTCAAGCTGAACTGCAATTCACCAAAACAACTCTCTGCACATTCCACCAGTACTATGCAGAGGTGATTCTACCAAACCGTAGTTCAGACTACACGCTTTTCATAGTAATGTCTCAGCAAAGTGTAAAAGTACAAGACATCAAAATACCCCACAGGGTTACTGGGAGAGTGTTTCCTGTAGCCCTTGGTGATCTAAAAAGAAGAAAGGAAGTTTCACAGCAAATCACATTCAAGGTTCCACTGAAGGTGTAAATCTGACTGGTGGCTGTAACTTTAGTACTTGCATTCTTTACACCAAATGTGTATGTGAGAGAAAAGGATACTACAGTGAATGTGTTTGATAATTTCCTTTTGTGCATCACAAGTAGGGTTCTCAGATTAACAGATTACTGATGAAAGGCATTGCACATACGGTACCTGCAAAAGCTCTTAGGTTCACTTGCTCTGCCCGAAGGACAAGCTGTACTGATAAGACAAAGCTTCAGCAATTCCTGGCGGTGTCACAATTTGCCCACACCTTCCCATTGAGGCAGCCCATCACAGGAATGAATAAGAGTCAGTAGGCGCAAGGGACAACTGAAAGATACTTCAGGTATATAAACCAATAGAGGCCTATACATGTCATACTCTACCTCTAATGTTCCCCCCTGTACAAGTGGTCAGTCAGTTGGCAAGTGTAGATTCACCTATAGTAGCTTCTGTTCCATTAAGGAAAGGAGGCCTACCAGTACTTGGTCACCCGCAGAACTTATACGCTCTGGCCAGGTAGCACAAGAAGCAGAGCAAAGGTAGAACTAGAGTACCTGTGCTGTTTGAGGATGCAGAGGATGGCAGGACCCTTGCCTCAGCTCAAGCATGATCAAGAGGTCAGAACAGACAGCAGACAGAGGTGAGGTCAGTCCACGTAGCAAGCAAGAAATGTGGTCAGTAAAACAAACATTGGTTGGTCCAGGAGGCAGGAAATATGTGGCCAGTACACAGGCAGGGATCAGGTTTATAACAGGTGCCAACCAAACACACAGGCTATTGGGAGGCAAGTTGGAAGGACTGAGCTGCAGGAATTGCCTGGCAACAAGCTGCAGGCCAATGGGGAACTAGGAGGAGGAGGAGCCAGAGGTGCGGCTGCGTTGCCCAGTAACAGGACACTGAGTGGCAAAGCCGTCTGATTCATCAGAGAATCTATGAGTAGGGGACTAATTGGCGAGAGACGCAGGAGCAGAACTCCAGGAAGCTGGCTCACAAAAAGTTCTTACATTTCAATTGCTCCCTTCCTCTTGAGGGAGGGGGCCTTAGGACCCTTAAGAGCAGGTCTGGTCGGATAAAAATGATGAAAGGCTTTGTCTACAGTATCAGTATATACAAGGACAGCTGGTACCGAGGAATGCCTTTAGGGTCTATACTCTTTTCAGTGAACCAAGATAGGTAAAGAATTCTACTGGAGTCAAGGACCTTCCCCACTTTGAATTCTTCCATAAACTAACACTGGAAGATGAGAGGAATGGATAGTATGCGGATGAAACGCTTCAGCGAAAATATGAAAAAGACTGGGTTTCCACGAATTGGGAAGTACTGGGAACAGACGAACAGAGACCAGGTTAATTCTTTGGATAATTCCAAGAAAACAATGTTCTTGGTGGAAAGCAAGGCATACTCGCCAACTCTGAAGTTGAGAGGGAGAGTCTGAGGGCAAATCGGCATGTGTTTTTTTTTTTGCATAGCAGTAGCGAGCTGGTCATGGACTTTTGCCCAAATATTCCAGAACCGATAATGGGATAGCCTTTCCCTTTAGGGTGTTAGTACTGGGCAGGGGGTCAATAGGGCAGTCATACACCCTGCGAGGAAACAATCAGATCAGGTGACAATTTTAGCAGAAGACCAGTCAATCTGGGGTATGATACTGCAAACAAGGAAACCAAAGGATGATGATGAGGTAAGATTGTGACAAAATAACCCTTACTTTTGTAGAGTCCCTACAAGTAAGACTTAGTTCAGTGGTTACATGACTGACACGACTGGGAAAAACTGGTCGATCCTTAATGGCAAAGAGCAAGAAAGGGTGTTGAAGAGGAATCAAGCGATGTTCTGCCAAACACTGGTCAATAAAATTTCCAGTGAAGCAGTGTGCCATGAAGTCTGAAACCTAGACTGGAAAGAGATTTGAACCGCTAAAAATAGTTATTACAAAAAATTGTTGGACTAGAGGGTCAGTCCTGTACCACGCTATACCCTGGTGTTTTCTGGCTTTTTGGGCAATTAGAGACTCTATGGCTCTTAGCTCCACAATAAAGGCACAAGCCCTGGGTACACCTGTGTATTTTTTCCTACTGGGAGGGGTGCAGAAGTCCTATATGCATTGGTACTTCAAATTCCAGAGAAGGCAGAGTGGAAGATACCAACGAAGTGGTGGAAGTAGGAAAGAAGGCACAACGTTCCATTCATCTTTCATGTAAACATCAATCCACTCTAATAGCTAAAGACATTGAAGGGAATTGATCCATACTTAAGCAGACAGTATCTGGAGCAGTTGCCCATGGCTAGCAATCAACGTCTATCTTTAATTTTCAAAGCTTAAATGTACAAACTGAAGAGAGAAGCTGGTTGGTTGCCACGAGCAACTGCTCTAGATTCTGTTTACTCCAGTTTTGATAAATTCCTACAGTAGCTTCTTCCAGTGACTGAGGAGCAGGTTACTGTACAAGAGAGTCCTTCATGGTGTCTGAGAGACCCAATCCAAACTAGCTGCACAAAGCAGGGTCATTCCAAACCAAGTCAGATGACCACCTATGAAAATTTGAGTAGTATTGTTGAGCAGTCCTTGCCTGAAATCCTGTAAGTTAGCCTCAGCGGTGTGTGCACCCAATATATGGAAGGTATCAACATTGGACTAGCTTGGATCAGAAGGAGACAAGCTGAATGCCGGAGCTTAGTGTTCGCCCAGCAAAAGGGAGATGATGCGGATCTGCTGTTGCTCAGAGACTGGTGATTGGGGCCTAAGTTGAAAAATCTGCAGCGATTTAAGAAATTGCAAAGGAACTATGGTCTCCAAAAACAATCAAGCAAATGGATATTTGGTTCAGTAGGCTCAGGGAGACTAGCCACTTCAGCTGATGCTTGTTACTGGTGTGAACGTTCCTGTACTAGGCAGTTCTGCTTGAAGAGTTCTTCAGCGAATTCTCGTACGATAATCGTACAGTGTATGGGCACCTTAAGGCTTTACACAGACTTAAGCCTGAATATTATAGGAAATGCTCTTAATAAATGAATACACAAATCCCTACATTGCACATCAGAATAAAGCACTGAACAACTGCCACTGCGCTAAAATATATTTATAGAACCTTTTGGTTTATATAATGGTGGAGGGTCACTGTGTCATCTTGTCCAGTGTCCACCAAGGAGATTTAAAGTGTATTTCCACTATTGCAGTCAAATTGGGATAACACCTACTTTATATGTTCTTATTTGCATAGTATAACTTTAAAAATAAATATTCAAAAAATTGCAGCTCATCTTTTGTAGATTCTCTTTTTCTGGAAACTCCAGGACTGAAAAATCCTGCTTAGTTCTCACCATTATTAGCCCTGTATGTACTGTGCTGGCAGACTTCATTTTCAGTTGTAAGCTAGAAGATCAGGAGCATCTGTCCTAACAAAGGGTTAATGATCTCAAGGCTTGTTAAAGCATTGTGTCGCAGTCTGTCCATTATCTGCACATTCTAACCATTAGTAGCTGCCTGTAGACTCATTTGTCTTGCTTCAAACAAACAGCTAGAAAGGTAAGAAATATATTTTATTAAATTTCATTAGGTATGCTCTGCGAATGGGAACACAAGCAGTCAAATTTCTCGAATGTGATTGCAAAAGTGAAAATACACCATGTAACGGAAGGACAAGCAACTTGCTGTTGCTGATAGTTTATGAAGAGTAGGGATCAGAATTAATACTTCACACTTTTTTAGTTAGCAAACACTTAGGAATTTTTTTTGATAGAATGAAAAACATTTTGGTTACCTGCATGGAGCCCATAGAGTGTCTTGTACAGGTGACTGTAAAATTTCAGAGGGTCAATGTTGAGTACATCACCTTTCAATAGAAGAAACAAATATTAAAACATTGTCATACCTGAGGTCCACTCAATATATGGGGGAAGAAAAGAACATAACAAGCTAATTGCCATAGATTTAGTGACAACTAAAAGCAAAACAAAAAACAAAATACAGGTGGGACATTGACCTCCACATTTAATGTTCCCATTTTTCTGCTTTCTTCCCCTATTTTTGTGTTGTCATCTATCCTTGCTCAATACTGTCAGTGTATTGTGTCTGGCAAGCAGTAGCTCACATATGTGTGATTTCTGGATCCTGGTGGTAGTCTGGTTCAGCTGTTACCATCGTCCTTGGTTTGCATCCCCTATACAAGGATAGGGGATGCATCTAGACTTGGTTACACTTAAGGCCAGGATTGGCTGAAATGTGTCCGTGTATGTAATAAATCTAATAAATCGCGGAACTTTCAAGCATGCTGACTTCTTGTGCTCGCTGCTGTGTTGCACTGGGAAGCAGTGTTGCTGTGCATCTCCTCCAGGTGGCCTTATTTCATAAGTACATGGTGAGCTGATCATGTGACCTGGACTGAATTTGACTAAGTATTCTCTTGCAGTCTCATGTACAGCAGAACTCGGAGAGGAAGAAACAGCACAAGTAACGATTCAGATGTGTTGCAGTGCAAGGAGCAGGTGGATAGAAGGAGAGAGAAGAGCAACAAAGAAGAGCTCACTAGTCTGCTGCTCGTCCTTTCGCTGACCAATCACAGAAAGGACCCGTAAGTGAAAGTAAAACTGCAGTAGAGAAAGCTGAAGTCACTGCCTCTGCTAGGTAGGACTGTGTTGCATAGCTATGTAAAAAGTGGGACTGGATGGACAGAAAAAACAAATTCTTTAGCAGGTAAAGCAGCTCATATGCATGTCATATGTGTATTTAGAAGTTTTACTGGAATCTAGCTATATACGCTATATATTCCTTCCCTGACCCCATGTGATAGCGCTGTGCCAATCATAAGCCATCAGCACTGTCACAATCACAAGAGTGTATTTCACATTGCTCGAGGCAGCTAAAAGAAGGGTCACTTTAAATGTGCACCAGCTGTTTCTGTGCATGTCCCATAAATTGAACCCAAAGACTATGAATGGCCTCTCTTACCCAAAGTATATACCTAGTTGAAGCCACTTTATTACATCTAAAAAGAGTATACACTTTAATGTTGGATGAATCCTATGTGGACTATAGAACTGGATTGCTCGTACCTTGACCAGAAAGGACATTGAAAGCCGTCTGAACACAGTGTAGGCTCTCCCTGTAGCTGAGATCCTGAAATGAAAGCAGAATATTTATCATTACAAGTTGTAAATGTGATCTCTTCCCTACAGGGATTTAAGATGTGAACTGTGCTGAATTTTACTGCTGGCAGGCTTGTAAAACTCCATCAAGCTGAACTTCACTTTCACGGTGAATGTTCTCTTGTTGCCGACAAGTTTAAAGCATTTGCCAAAGTCCACCCTGACCCATCAAAAAATCCCTGGTGACCTGACCCACTTATATCCTAAATTAAATCTTGCAATACATAGCTTAGCTTGGAGTAAGAAACCTAAAAGCTTGATAACAGGTGCTGATGACAGATTTACAGGCAGGATACAATATACTGCTTGGGCTGTAATACAAGTGAAAAGTTATGTACTGCCTGGTAGGATATGAGCTATAAGATGGGGTGCAGGTCAGGCTTTTCAGAAAATATATAATGTTGGGGGGTTTTAAGTAATTTTTTAGGCCTAAAATGTGGAATATAACATGGGTAGAAAAAATGAAAAAAAGGCCTCAGTCATGAAGGGGTTAAAGTATAACTTTAGGCATTTAAACATTTTGTGTAGAGCGGCCAGGGCTTTAACTGCTGTCTGTGACCACGATGGGGAGGGTATTTCCTTACTTTGTCAAAGTAAACTCCACTCCAATGGAGACACAAACAGCAATAACAATATATTTAAGTAGAAAAGAGGAGGTATCAGTCTCTGTTGGGTTTTTATTGCAATCTGTTCCACTGTCAGGGAAATCATCCCTTGCTTCCGATTCTTCTTTTTGTCATCGGTAGTGAAGGCAAATCCTCCCAAGGGTATAAAACAGCAAATAAACCCAACAAAGGTTCTAAACCTTCCCAAAAAGTATTTTTTTTTTTTAAACTTGTCTTTTTTTAAACTGGTCTTTAAGCAAAATCTTTGCTACCACAAGCACCTAAAAGTTTCACAGAAAGACTAAAATGGTCAGCTTAGTTCACAGAGAAGGCATGTAAACAATTCATGGATCTCAACTTTTCGAGAGGGCAGTCCTCTATATCCATAAATATAGCCAAGTCTCTCTTTTGACAGTATTGTGTCTCCTAGTATATTATGTGCAGTCTACAATGGTTGATACATAGTACAATATGCTTCACAGCTGAAATGTAAGCTTTTATATTAAGTTATTTTCAATGCAATGATCCACCCACATAAAACATATGAATAATTACTGCAGAAAAGTGATCCTTAGTCTTTCATTAAAACACACAAAATCTATGTGACAGTAGATAATAAACCAGATATAAAAAATAAATGAGCAGAACATCTCACTGCTAATAACATTTAGCAAAGACTATAAAATAAAAGGCAGACATAGCTGGCCTCTGGTCATTGCCATGGGTGATTCATTATCCAGCAGCCTGCATCTCATGCTAGGATGAGAAATCAAATATGTAAAAAGGTCTCCCCCATTAATATACCTACTAATAAATAAACATATCTCAGCCATTAAGCACTATACTAAGGAAATTCAATTAGAACAGAAAAGTTGTATATGGACTCTGGGAGAAATGAGCTCAGTATAAATAAACTACAAAGTGATTTTTATATAAATGGAACAGACATAATGTGATTAAAAAGCACAATGTTCAGTGGAAGTAAAAATAACCAATTAGTTCTTGTCTAGCCCTACCTCACAATACACAGGGAAAACTTTCATCATTTCTATCACTCTGGATTTATAGGGCAGTTCCACTTGCATCATAAAAGTAGAAACCTTCCCCCAGTTGCATACCCATCAGGACTGGCATGCAAGCAGTGAATCTGATACTGGTTAACAATTGGGAGAATGGAAGAGGGAGTAACTTTAAGTGCTCCCTCACATGGGACTGCGACGATCCCAGATATTGTGCATTGCCTTTTTTTTTTTGCCGTTTTCTCTTGGTTTTTATTACAGTGTCGCTGGCCCTTTAAATTACCTCAGGTATTCCACGTGGAGGTTTGGGTGGGAAATCTCATCCAGAACATTCCAGAACCTTCTCCAGCCAGCATCTATCCCTATATAAAAGAGGACTCTGCTTGGGATCAGTGCCAGTTGGTTGGAACGTAACCTCGACGAGCTTCCCTCCCTCCTTCCCCTGTCGCGGCACCATTATGTGGATTGTCACCTCTTAGTGAGGGGGGCTAATTCACAGTTACATCATGGTTTTGGTTGCTTGAGTTGTAATGACTAAGCAATTGATGGTGGTGAATTAATGTTTTGGTTATTTAAGTTTGGCTCAATAAAGTTTAAATCGATTTAATATCAATAAAAGTGCCGCAGCCAATATGCAGTTGTCTGTGTTTTTATTTCATGTAAGTAATAGTTTGGGGTATAGTCTGCAGTCCATGTGGAAGGGTTTTTCCACTCAACAATGGGAAGCAAGGGGAGGGAAAGAACGCGTCTAAGACCCATCTCACCCAAAACTCACAGCATGAGATCACAGACATGTTATCTGTTCTATAACTCTATGCAAGGTCTCTGATCTCATGCTGGTTATGATTAACAGATAATGCTGATTGGAGCAACATTCACCATATTTATTCCCAGATAATTTTTGCATAAGTCATTCTGAATGGAAAAAGCTGGTTGGATGACCAGTGAAACGTCTTCAAGAAAAAATATAGCAAGTCCAGTTGCCTCGATTTATTTTTTACAGACATACCATGACCTGGATGAATGAGAACCTTCACAGACAACTCTATACAGTAAACTCTCTGTTATCCGGAATTCAACTAACCAGAACTCTTATCTAACCAGAAAAAAAAATCCCTTTGTGTACTCATTGTTCTGCTGATCTGCGGCATGTATTATCCTAGAAACGAACGTGTGCCTATTTGTCTTAATTTGCTTTTGATTACTGCATTTCAATATTAATATGACGTCAATACAGAGTTTATGTTCTGGTATAGTATAGGGTATGGCATTAGTTAGACTTGTTCTTAATAGGAACTCTCAAGCAACCAGAAACGAAATTTATCTGGAACCTACCAATCCCTGTGGATGCCGGATAGTTTACTGTATAAGGTTTTCATATTTTCATTAAAAAATGCTCATTGATCACCTCATATAGCTTCTCACCAACAAAAGCATAATTAAAGTACATCAAAAGCCAGTTATTTTGGGTGGAGCAGGAAAGAGTTACATCACCTGTCAGGCTTCTACTGCTCTGTGTGCCCACTGGAGGGGAGTCAGTCTCTCCGTGTGTCCTGGTGACCACTTACAATGATAAAAGGTGATGGGAAATTCAAAATGCTACAGGTGCCATCAGACAGAATGGGAGGGGAAATCCTCCAGTACTGTTCCAGTGACAACTATGAGGGGATTTCCCATCACTTGTGAGAGATTTCTTCTGGCTTCCTGTTATGTGTCTGGGATAGTGAAAAGATATCTTCCTCATGGAACACAAAAAAAATCCCTGACTAACCATTCACTAGTCTATCCAAAACTAATTAATACAATAACCAAGGAGATTGCATGAAACAATCATCCAAATGCATTGTATGGAAAGATCCCTAAGGAAGATCCCTGTAAAGTGGATGTATAAATCTAATGCAGATTTCCTTTACAAATTATGCTCATCATTTTTTTTTTATCAGATTGTTTTGAATGATTTTATCCTTTTCTGTTACAATATAAACTTATCTTATAAAGCAACACGTTCACTACAATTCCCATTCGTATTCCCCCTTCAAAAGCTCTAGATTTTATACTCCTCAGAAAGCCTCCTTATAAGAATAACTCCAATAAGTAACTGCTCATTTGGAAATAATATCTGGCAATTATTAGAAAGTAGGAAACACCTTAAAAGGGAAACTGTGTTCTATTCCCGGTGCATAGAAATGTCATTCTTGATGCAACTTGTATTTTCAGGGCAGATTAAAGCTGGCCACCCACAGCTTGCATTTCCACCACCTCCTGATGCATTGGCCACACTTCGAGCTGCGTGCAGCCCTTTTGGCACCGCCCACTTCAAGAAATTGGATTTTTCAATCAACGTTTTTTGTAAGGAGCCGGGTGGAAAATTATTGGTCAAACAGCGTCCACATCCAATCAGATGCAGGCATTAATCAGGTATTCAATAGTCGTAGGATCAGCGAATGCTAAACACAATAGCTGGCAGCAGGGTTTCCTCTATCCACACTGATTAGTATGGATGAGGGAATATACATTTCTCTTGTTCAGCCCCGCCAGGCTGTCAAAGAGAAATGTACCAGTGGGTGGCTACTTCTAGACTGCCACTTAACAGGCAGTGTAAACTCGCCTACATCTGGCCGTGCGTGGTAGTTTTGCTGACCACAGTGCATGTGATCATACTAGGACATGGCCTCGATGGGAAGCTATGCACTGCACTTGGTAAAACAACCAAATACAATGAACCTCATATGTACAGTGGTTGGGGGCTATAATTCTCAGTGTTGTAATACTGGAAAAAGCAGATAACCAATCACATGAATTCAAATTTTTTGGACTGTTCTATACAGAAGCCATGCACAAGAAGGACCAGTGTGTAATTGTATCAAGCAAGGGGACATCTAAATTCTTTCCCAGTTTTAGAAATGACCGCAGACTGAAAAGCCACCACAACATTCCTAGGAAGCAAATGTAAGAACGGTCTATTACTGCGCAGATAAATCAAAGACTTGGGAACTCTCAGGGAAATCCCCAGAAAAAGAAATGAAATACTTACACCAGAATCAATGAGTTTATGAAGAACAACCAGAAGGTCATCAAAAAATTCTATATTTATCAGATGTGCAAACCTGTAGAAGAAAGTTACAATATGATAAGCATAAATCTAGAAAAGGACTGCTTACCTGACAATGTAAAGTACATGTTATAGAGAACTTAGAGAAGTATGGGGAGAGTGAAATACACCAATCCCCATAATTAGAGCCAATGTGTGACACTGAAGCTGTCACGTCAGCTATATTGATTGGGAACAGAGCGATCACAAACTGCTGAGTTCCCAATCTTCTCCTCGCAGGGAGCACCGACTGTCAGTCAGCACTCCCTCCAATCCTCCAGCGCTGACTGGAGGAACCGAGGGGGCGGGCACAGCTCTGGATCTGACTCGAGAGGCAGAGCCAGCTGTCAATCAGGCAACGAGGTAGGTACCAACAATATTGTCAGGATCTGTAAAGGCCACAGCGCAGCTCCGCACTGCCAGCATATAGCGGGCAATCACCCGCTATATGCCGAGTTTTGGGTCACAAGAGGACATTGGTATATGTCCTCCTGTGACCCCAAAGAGAACTATGGCCAAAAAAGGCTGGCCCATTGTTCTCTTTTAAGTACAATTCACAGAATTATTTGTGAACTACATAATTTAAGAAGGCTGGGGGTCTTATGTTCACTAAGCAGAAAATATATTGCCGAATAAGACATATACAATAACATCTGAGTGTTCATCATTAAAAGGAGAACTATGGGGTCAGGGCTATTCCCCATAGTTCTCCTAAGGGTCAGGGGAGGACACAAACTAGTGTCCTCCCGTGACCCAAAGCTCAGTATACTGCGAGCTACAGCTCGCGTTATACTGAGACGCCGCAGTCGGAACGGATCCCGACATTGCTGTCGAGATCCACCCAGCTGTGGGATTGAAAGCTGGCTCTGTCTGTTCTGCCAGTCAGCGCTGGAGGATCGGAGCGGGGAGGGGGAAGAATCCCTGCAGGGAGCCGTGAGTGACAGTCACAGATCCCTGCAGGGATAGATCGAGAATTGAGCGAGCGACAGTATGTGTTCGCTCACTTCCCGATCTACTGATCTGACCTGCGACAGTTTCATTGTCACAGGTCGCTCAGATTATAAGGCTCGCCTCATAATTCTCCTTTAAGGGTCCATTTCCACCTATGCAATTCAATTAACAGCAATTTCTGAAGACACATTACAAACTAATGTGGAATATAACATGGGTGCAAAAAATGAAAAAAGGGCCTCAGTCATGAAGGGGTTAAAGCCCGTTAATACAGCATCTAAAAATGCATGAAAATGTTCACAGAAAAGTACAAATTCAGGTTAAGAGGAGAAAACAAAAAGTAAACAAGTTGTGAACAAACATTGGCAAAATGATTAATGACAGATTTGTTGCAAAAAAATATTCGATAGATAACCAATCCGCACAATAATTTAAAAACACATTTCAAAGACCAATAATGAATACCAGTGTGTTTAACCGATGGCCCTATGGTCACATGTAGATCTGCAAGTGCCACGTGTGAAAAGAAACCTAAATGTTAAATAGATACTTCCCAATTTTGCTGGCATAAATGTTACTGTATTAAGTATAATTTTCACCTCAAAAGACATCATCAAATTGAATGACCAGCAGTTTAAAACAGGGTACGATAGCCACAAATGTTACACAAAAAAAATATATTAAAGTGACATTTTCCCTTCCCCCATGTTAATGTTAGCACTTACCTTAAATGAGGTCTCTTATTCCAATCTTCTTCTTTCCTGATGTTTTCATCTGTCCCTCCAGGGGTGCGGCGGCTCTCCGATCCAGCGCTGACTCCTCTGTCCCTCCGACCCAGCAGTGTCTGCATGCGGGTGCACGCGTCCATAGACTTATCTTGCGTCTCTGCTCGTCTCCCGGCCGAGAATCCGAACTGCGCATGCGCCCGCCCCAAGATCCTTTGCAGCCACACGAGCAGTTCCTGATTCTCGGCGCGGGAGCGTGCAGCGATAACCAGGTAAGTTTAAACCTCTGTTAAAGCGGGGGTTTTTTTTTTTTTAAACCTTTTGCCTATATCTACTGCTTGCTAGAAGTAGATATAAGCAAAAAAACCGGAGGGTTTAGAACCCCTTTAATAAACCACTATAGATATATTCATCAAACTGACAGGGGTGCAACACTTCACAAAGGGACCTTGGGCTCGGCAGTGTGGCTTATATTTACAACTAAGTGATACTAAACTTTGTTAAACGGAGTAAATTTGGTTTTTTTTTACGATTAGCTGGTAAATGTGCAGGGAATATTTTGTATTGTGTTTGTTCTGTAAAAAGCCATTTCCATGTGAACGTTACTGTAAAAAGATAGTTCTAAATTAATAGGAGCAGTTGCTATTATTGTTTAGCTTGGGAACATCTTTTGTTAGTTTGTTAGTCTGGAAACAAAAATCTCATTCCTAATGGTTACTGGTCACTGCTAGCTAACCCCGTTTATAATTTTTATGAAGTTATATTTAGATGCATTCTTGTATCTTGCAGACAACCCAGCTTATATTCTTCGGGGAAGCGTCAGCAAAAGAAAATCAACCTGGCCAATCAAAACATAGCAATTATCCCTAATCCAGACAAAACTGGGCACTGATCCTTCCATGCTAGGGTATCTGCATGAACAAGGTGCTAAGCAGTGACTCACAAAAGCACCATCACCAGCAATTCTCTTAATGTCACAAGCAATTTGTTTGCTTAAACAGGACCTATGACAGAAACATTAAAGCTGTTAAAGCTGGAAATAAAACCACCATCAAACTTCATTCATTGTGGTCTACAGTAAGAAGATACAGATCTCTTCATTAATTGTTCAGCTGAACTCAGGACAGAGATACTAAGCAGCATACAGGAATCGCTAATCACAGGGGCACTCTTTTCTTCAAGCCAAACCATCAAATTCCCAGAAGTAAATATATGTGAAATGACCGACCTGCCAAGTGATTATAATTGCATAATTAAACATTCAGCTAATCTTAGCTAAGCCAACTCAAAAACAGCTATACCACAAAGCCAAGACAATGATTCCATGTAAAGGTGCCCATACACCTTACGATTATCGTACGATAATCGTATGCGATCGACTTTTCGTACGACAATCGTAACGTGTGAATAGAGTGCCCGACCGACTTTTGGCGGTCAAGCATGTTTGAAAACTTTGCTAGATCGTACGATTTTCGTAAGGTTGCTGGCGTTTCCGTCCGTCAAAAGTCGTACGATCTACACTGCGCTTGCGCTAACGAAAATACGGCAAATCATTTACCGCATATCGTCCAGGTGCTTTTAGTTAATTACGGCTAAATTAATCTTGCGATCATCGGGGCAGGATGGGGCCGTCGTACGAAAATCGTACGACGGTTCGATCATCGGACGAAAAGTTTCGTCCGATAATCGTAAGGTGTATGGGCACCTTTACTCTAGATCTAGATTTTTCAGCTTCCTGAGCCAATGGACAATCAGTTGGCAGGTTGTTGATAGAGATTTAAGGTGGCCATACACTGGTGGAATTTCAGCCACGTCATCCTGACTTGGCTGAAATTCAACCAGTATGTGGCCCCTTCAGGACACCCCAAACACACATCTGTACAACGAAGATAATCTTGTACAGCATTCTTCTTCACCCATTTACACAACATATGTTATTCTTATAAATTTATTATAAATTTTCAGCACATTACAAAAGACAAACTCTTGGGGAGGTTCACACCATATCCATGCATGCACTATTTTTTGCGATCACACCGCACTGGAACTTGTACCACGCGTTCTGATGCGTGTGATCACACTGCTGGCGGGAGGTGCGTCTGCGGTGCTTTTGAAATGAATGGCACCACCACGCCCATGCCCACCCCCACGCAGGAGGCTTTAATTATGCGATCCAGCGCATTCCAGGCACTGACTGTGCCGGAACACACTGGATATGATGTGAACCGGCCCTTAACGAAAACAAGAAAAAATTGTGCAGTGGATTTTCTCCTCAATGTCCAATTTTGAAATATACAAACTATGGAACCATTCAGCACCTGCTGAGATTAATGAAGCATCACACTATTACACTTGTCTATGAATGTTCCACCCCAAGATAAATTGACTCACTTTGCCAGACCTTCCAAGACAGCAGGAAGGAGAACAGATTTTTGTGCTCTCTTCAGTATTCTGAAGTAGGTTAAGAAAACAATGTTCAATGTTTCTGTATGCTGTGGGAAAAATACAGACAATTATTTTAAGGAACCACAACCTTGCAGTTAACCGTTTCGTAACCACAAGAGTGCACACATGCACATTTCAGTTTTAATCATGTAAAAAGTACAATAAAGATTGAAACAAAAGGTGCACAACATTAAACTCAATAGCAAGTCAAACAGCACTATGCTCCTGTTTTGTCATAACATGCGTCGGGGTTTCATATTGACTTCTCTGGGGGAGAAAATCGGAAATGCCTGTACAGAAGCCTGACCACACACACACACTATCAACTTTGTTCAGACTTTGACCCCCCCCACCCCCTCCCCATTTGTTATTGGCTGCTATGGGTACTGCACTGCACTCTGAACATTTCCAATGTGCACAAAATCCAAGCTAGCTAGACAAGTCATTCCTTCAGTGCTCCCTTTAACCAGAAGCATGGTTGTTGAAACTACTGAAAACAAGACAAATTGCCTTGCTTGTGCATTGAGACTATGCTGGAAAAATGGCCAGCACAGCCCCAAGGCACAGACAAGGAAAATTGCCTTGTTTCAATGTGCACAGTTCACACCACCATGTTGCGATGATATGCACTGAAAAAAGTATGACATGTATTTTTTTCTTTTCTGCACAGCGGGGTGCAACATGATACATTTTAATAAAGTTAAAAAATAAAAAAAAGAGCAAACAATGATATTGGCACTGTGCCTCTCATCGAGCAGCTTATTGGTAAAAGATTTCAAGCTGCCATTAGCTTGACATCTTCCACTTGCAATGTGTACTGGAAACACAAGACAATTATAACTTTCTCAAAGGTCATACCAGTTTTAATTTCTTTTCTTTGCTTTCTGAGGCTTCAGCTTCAAGGAGTTCTCGTTCTAGTTTTTCTTCAGCTTTCCTCCACTGTAGAGAGAAAGATAAACAAATTAATGAATGCAAGTAAATAATTTCACTCATTTCTGTGTCAAAAGGTCTTCTGCAGAAATGTTTGCTTCTCATTGTAATTAAGCCACTAGCACGGGGGCAGGCAACCGACATCCAGCTGCTGTGGAACTACAAGTTCCATGAGGTATTGCAGGGACAGACAGCCACAGCTATGACTGCCAGAGGCATTATAGTGGTCTGTATCCCTGTACTAGGGGCAATTCTGCCCACATACAAAATAACTTGTGTCTATGCAGTAGAAAAGCCTCCTCAACTCCATGCTGCCACCTCTTGGCATTATCCTAGCACGTCGTACATGGACCCCAGAATCTCAATAAGTTGAGAGGCTGAGCTCACTAATGCAACAACAAATACTTTGGAGTTTTTTTGGGCTGACCCCCCACTACAGTATTCAGACCCAGGGAGCTTGTGCTCCCTCCTGTTATGGGTGCAATACAAACATATAAACTATTATTGTGAGCATCTAAGAAACAGCAGAACTCAGACGTCCAGGTCTATTTTAGATTCTGTGTGTACATCAGTTAACAGATCAGTTCTGCTTAAAGCACAACTTATTTCAGGTTATTAAAGAATTTGAAGTTTAAATCAGCTAAATACATTCCATGTGCATCAAAACAAAAGGGGTGCACAGTCACAATTGTGCAGCCACTGCCTTAGTAGAAAAGCCTGTTCCCTGCCAGCATGCAGTAGAGAGGGACTTGTATGAACACTATGGTCTCTGCAGAGGTCTGGCGCCACCCCCTGCTGAGTCGAAGCTAGAGCATTTAGCAGGGAACATGAGATTTTGCAGATTGCAGAGCTATAGGTCTGATTCGGAAGACCTCAGCAGAGAGACAAACTTAAAATATAACCCAAATATATCAAAACATATTCCACCAAGAACAAATATCTAAAACAGGATACCCAGACTTCCAAGAATCAAATATTAGAGAAATACAACAACATTTATAAACTACGGGGATCTACTTTTTCAAATCTGTAAAGAAAAATACATCAATGGAACTTACAACATTCTGCCACAAAAAGATTGTTTGATATATTTATTCATCAGTAGCCACAAAGCTAAATGGCAACAATGCCAATTTCACATCTCCTGGAAATGTCCAAATTACATAATATAAAATTAACATCAAAACCATGCCCATCACATATAGATTAATCTCTCTTATACAATTGTAACACGCACATATTCTCAGGACCTCTCTGCAATAGCCACTTAGCATAAACACTGAAATGAGCTCAGCATGTTTTCCGTCCGGTAAAGTAGAAGGTCAATGCACTGGATCTGACACTAATTAGACCACCAAAATATTTTATAGAGGTCATCTCACCCGAGTCAAAATCATTTTATGCAATGTTCACAAACTGCGCGTAGACGATGCAATATTATAATATTTACAATAAGAAAAATACAACTTGTGATGTCGCCCAAAGGAAACACAGATGTATTAGTATGCTCTTTGTTAATATAGGTGGAACCAGCTTTCTTTGGAATAGAAGCATTGAAGAATATCCAACCCTTAGATAAAGCATATTCGGGTCCAAGTGTCCAACATTTCGAAAAGTACATAACCTCCAGACAGGGGAATACTGTTCCAGAATCAAAAGGCAGCGCTACATCCAAAGCAAAGTGGACAAGGCGGGGGAAGGTACTAGAGTATTGTCACTTGTATATATTGTCAAAACCGCTCCTTACCCATTGCATCTAAAAGCATACTAACTCTGTAGAGAGACCACTGCTTCCACACAGGGAGCAATTGTCCTTCTCTACAGCGGGCTGTGGCTGCATTCTAAACAAAATGAACTATAAGACTGTGAACAGATGTTGTTTTGAAGCACCGGTAGTGTATTTAACGGTTTTAAATAGAAATTTGACTTAGGCTTTAATAAGTGCAGATACTAGTATACTCTGAACCTTAGCAGACCAACAGAGGCATCCGAGACAGTGGGGTTGATTTGCTAACGGCGTACATCATCGAATCACGTGCAAGGATTTTTTTTTGTTGTTTTATCCTTTTGATTATGATTGGGTACTCAAGACGAAAACAGCTTCAGACTTACTAATCTCAGTGAACATTCACTTTAAGTGAACAGGCTCTACACCTTTAAGAAATTAATCCTTATGTAGTTTAGGTATTTTCAGTGGTCAACACAGAATCAGTGGGTTTCAATATCTATGTTAACCATAATGAGCAATTACACACAATGAATTGAGAGCTAGTACACAGACCCAAAAGACACTTCACAATTAAATGGGGATTTGCCTTTTATAGCTAGCTTGTTAGACTTTGAACTTCAACAGCATTGGGCTTCATTTATCAAATAGTCTGTCCATACTGAACTTAGGGATTGAAAATAATTCTGATTGGTTGCTGTGGACAGACCGTTCTTTTTCAGATATTGACGCGCGGCTCAGGCTGCATGTGGAGCCCCGAACAGGCAAATCAATCGATAGCCGACGAATCGACGATCGAAAACGTTGCCAACGTTTTCAATCGTCGATTTTAATCGACTAAATCGATTAACTGTTGCAGCTCTAATTTTGATAGGAATGAGCGTAATTATGACATTGTTAGATGTGATGCTGTAAAAGTCTCTCCCAGTCAATATACTCCCATTAACCATGCACACACAGTAGAGTGTTTACCTTTCTTTGCATTCTAGACAAATTCTTCCTCTTGTCTTTGTAGGACATTAATTTCTGCTTGGGGGCAATGTCATCTGCATCCTTTTTCAGTTCCACCTCTTTAATTCTTAGATGAAGCAAGATGTTCAGCACCTAGAATCAACATGAATCGGTAAGACTGTATGGATTTAATTAAACTGCTTTATCTAGACAGCAAGGCAGAGTACAAATGTATTTGGGTTTTGCAAGTCCTCCTATGTGCACAATACACTATATTGAGCAGAGTCATTTCCCACTTGCTGTGTTTAGTACAATTAGATGTTAAGTGTTGATCTGCCCTGGGCAAGTATGCATCTTTTTCAGTGCAGCTGAATCTGTAAATCCTATGCCCCTATTATGCTAGTATTGCAGTGCGTACACTTATTCTGAAATAGGAGATTTGTACTAACCATAATGTCCATTGAGAGACACAGGATTGCAGATATTGTCAGGTTACACTGCTGGTACAAGAGGATGGCAAAAAAAGAAAACAAAATGTAGGCTAGCCCCAGTACAACCTCTCCATACCCAGCATGCCTCAGGGGTTGGACCTGTGTCCCTCAATGGGCTCCAAGAAAAGGATTTAATGGCAAGTGCAAAAATCCTAATTTTATGGCAAGACAGGAGGCTTCATATTTTGCATTACTCTCTTTACTGAATCCTCATAGCAGCAAAGAAACATAACAGAAACGGAAATAACCAATAGCAGCACACAGCATGTTATAAAGTCCACCCACATGAAGATCCGTCCTCTTTTCTTTGCTGCTCCTCATGGCAGGTCAGTGACTCGTATGTCTCACATTCCTTTGCCTTATTTTTCTTCCCACTTCAGATTTTGTGTGATTCTACACTTTTCCTATCATCTACTTGTGGTTATCCCCCTCTCCTTCTTATCTCACTATAGTTGATCAGCAATACAGACACTGCTCCCAGTACCTTTGCTGACATGTGCTCTTCTGCCTCACTTTCTCTGGTCTCTGCCCCCGACCACTCACTCTGCCCGCAGGGCTGTTCCCGGTCCATATCCCAGCCTCAGGGCTGCTTTTTTCCTCCAGGCCTTATCACCATTTGCTTGTGGCCAACTCAGACAACCGCAGCCTCAATTTTGTTGTAGCCGCGTTCTGGCCTGGAGGCAGCCACCTTTCTTTAACATTTTGTCAGAGCCGCGGCGGCCATTTTGTTGGAGCCGCGGCGCCCATTTTGTTGGAGCCGCGGCGATCAGTAAAGAGAGTAATGCAAAATATTCGCCTCCTGTCTTTAATAAAATCCCGATTATTCGGTCACTAAAGCTAGAATAATCATCAATTTCCTTCTCATCTATTAAAGGACACAGGAATTAAAATACTGACAGGATGTCCAAAAGCAGTCCAACAGAATATGGGTAATACAACATCCGCTAACAGGCCTAACAAAGAAAACTGGGGACTTCCTGCAGCCCAGGAGTGCCTGAATCTGATCCGGATAACGAGACCACCTCAACAGTGCAGTAAGGAAACTGGATAAACCCCAATGCATGAAGAAAGCCACCAAAAAAAAAAGAAAAAAGGCCAGAAAAACTTTGGCTAGATATCCATCCTCCTAGAACACTAGAAACAAACTGAGGCATGCTGGGTAGAGGAGGGGTTATCCTAGGGATGGCTTACAATTGTTTGTGTGCCAGTGACCAAGCCTCCTGTAGGTGGCGCTATAACCTGACAGTACCTGAATTCCTGAACCCCTGAATGGATAAGAAAGAAAAAAGTAGAAATCTTTTTTTGCTTGCATTCACAGGTCTGCTATGCTGCTCCATTTCTGTCTACGGAGCGAGGTATGTGGACAAGACGCAATGGGTCAAAGAGTGCTGATGATGTCACTGTTGGCTTTGTCAGTACAACTCTCAGGCTGGCTGAAAAAGCCAGCAAGGCATCAAGCACTTGTGAATAGCTTTGCTGAGAACGGCATAATCAACAGGTGTACGACCTTTAATCACAGATAGCATGGATAACTGTACCTGTATTTATAGAGTCAGCCAATAGAGAAGAAGTTTTGCTTTCCGAGTTTGCAGACATTTTAAGAAGGTATGTGGTAACCTCCATGTACGTTTTGCTCTTTTTTTTTTATTGCTATTCTCAATTGCAGCATGGGTACTCTCTAGATTAGGGTAGGAGCACACCTTGCACGGGTTACTTTAAAGCAATGTAGTTTCCCCACATGTTTACAAAATAGTCATCTGATTTCAATAGCAGGTTAGGCTTAAAACAGGTGTAAACTAGGCACACTTTGCCAACTAGTATTGCTGGAAAAGTTTGGTTTATGTAGTGTATTGCGTACCCGTGCACCTCCTTGCTAGTGATTCATTTACAGTGCCGCTAGCCATTTTCTGTGTATGCTGGAACACAAACAATAGCTCGTCACATACACGGCGCTTCCAACACACTGAGTAGCATGTTCAGGATTTACACAAGCCCCTGTGTAATACCAAGCTTAGTTCCAGCATACTTGTCTGGCATATAGTCTCAACAATACACATAACTGCAACGCAGCAACATGGCTTTGCCTAGCCAATGATATCTAACAATTACAAATGCTGCATAGTTTACTTTACCGTAATAGCTCTTACAGAACTGAAAATCATTAAACGTGTTTGAAATTTAAACACAACATACAGGGATTTTGTGACTCTTAAAGATCATAAATACATAACACAGATAAATGCAACACTTGACAAAATTCTTGTAAAAGTCATACAAGACACTCACAGACTATAAACTACTCTGTGTTGATGGCCAGAATGACGTATAGACAATTCATATGAGCATCTTCAATTTACCTCTGGACGCACGTCATAATTCTTGCTCTTCACCAATCCTGAAATCACCTTCACTGCTGCCAAAGAAGCATGGCCAAATTTATCCTGTCTGAAAAGCTTTTTCACTGCCTCAATGCACACATCGGCAATCTGTGAAATACAAAGACACAAAACTACAGTGATCTTGCATAAAAACACCATATGGTATCAATAAATCAGCTATACCATTCAGTAGTTGATAAAAAGTCGAGTTGATAAAAAGGGCACCACATGTGGAATACAGCACCTTTACTGGATAAAAGCAGCAATGCCCATCTAGTTCTTATCCTACGAAACCCTTGGTGCCCCTTTGTTTCCCAAGCACAGGGTGCACAAACATTTGCTTGACTGATTTTTCCACCTTCTAGGTCACTGACATATACAGGCAGTCCCTGGGTTATGAACAAGATAGGGACTGTAGGTTTGTTCTCAAGTTGAATTTGTATTTAAGTTGGAACAGGTAAATTTTTTAGGTGTAACTCAAGCCCATAAAAACATTTTCTTAGTTTTGGATAGCATAGGGAAGGGTTAACCCCCTGTAACATTTGTTTCGCTGTCCTCACAGTGGCTCTAACCCCGCACCATACTAACCAAAAATAAAAAAAAATTTGCACGGAGTTCTACTTTAAATGCAACTTGCATTACAACTAGTGGAACAGCCTGGGACCTCGGTTCGTACGTAACTCAGATGTTAGTAACTCGGGGACTGCCTGTGCTAAGCAGTATGACATCCAAACTTACATTAGTGCACCAATTTGATGGTATATGATGGCTTTACATCTTTTTTAAGGCATGTGAAAGCCTAATGTCTTCCTAGTGATGTCACCACACTTGAGAAGAAAGCTTCTCTGCCGTGATGGCAGACGGGAATTGTAGTTCCTCCTTCCTATGGATGGATGACACGGCTGTGTGGGTAAAGCCACACGTTTCCAAAAAAGGGGGGTGGGGGGGGTAAAATGAACTTAATCTTTGAAGAATAATTCCAACCAATGCTGAAAGTTCCACTTTAGGAATTATTTAGTGTGTTAAATCGCTCTCTTTTTGCACGTCAAAAGATCATTGAGCAGTGAAAGTCCAATGCTGTCATATCACAGACCATGCATATACAGCATACAGGAACAGTGACACTGCTGTGATTCCTCAGCTGGAAGATGTGCTTCCAACGCTGCACAACATAGGATGGCCTAAATGGTGACCAACAAAATGACTCGAGTATATTTCATTAATATCACATGTTCATGCATGTGTTTCTACATGAGCTTGGGGGAGAACATTCAACAGTTTCTATGGTGTAGCTAGGCTAAAAACATAGCTAAACCATAAGCATTTTTCAGTTTCTTTATTCCCATGGGACAAAAATGCATGCTGCTGCAGAGGAGATGCCATATATCACTTTTTTGAAGAGCAAATTGTGGCAAAACACATAGTCAAGACCTATCTGTAATCCGCTAATTAAGAAAAGAAAGGTGCCAGTGAAAAGCAGATTACTTTACATCAGAACATGAAAATTTGCAGTTGAAGAGGACCTGTTACTTTATGTGTGATGATCAATGAATACAAACCTTGAAGCATTTGATGATTATTCTCTTTCTAGCCTAATACGTGGTGCCTTTCAAGCCACATCCCTGAGAATGCTTAGATTGTTCAATTTGTTCCCTTGTGCTATCAGGGGTGGCTCAGAAGACACATTTGGCAAATACAAGCACTGTATCAGAAAACACCAAGGTACATAGAACAGGTTGTGCATTTGGTAATGATATTACTAGCCTTGTAGACATATTAACAATAAGCCATTAGTAGTACATGCTCTAATGTAAGAATAACAATACAATGCTGCAGCAACAATACATTATCTGCAGCAGGCTGTCTTTTATAGGGTTTTAATGTTTTTGTGCTACCTCACCGCAGACAGTGCGTTTAACCCTCAATTTCTGCAAAGTGACTGTCTCATAAAGACGACACTATCTGCCTTCAGACCCTGCATTCCTGAGCTGTGTCATACATATGTTTCTTCTCAAGCGATAACCCTCTCTGGCATCTCCTACACTACCGTAGTACAATTATGACACTTTACTGCCCTCTAGTTGTGGACAAAATCCAGTGCTGGAAAAACGGTTTTATACCATTAACAATTTATTTTCCCCCAAAAGAATGGTTGTCACTTATGTGTCTAGTACACAACAACTTCCTTTTCTAAATAGTAGATACATCAATGTATTATAGTCGCTGCTATTGGAGCAAAACATTGCTATAAATCAAAATTCCACCTTCTAAGGCCACACCAGATGGATTCTTAAATGGTATATTTTATTGCACTTTGCACATTCCTTTTTGCCCTATTACTGGAAACCAGTACTGAGGAAAATATGGAGGCTGCCACTACTATCAGGTGTTTTTGAACAGTCCAGGTGCCTGGTTATTATTCTGATCCAATAGTTTCAGCCACTTTGTATATAGGGCAGACTTGATTGACTCAAAACAAGTTTACATCCAATCAGAAAGCAACGGCCAGGTAACTAGCATTTTCTGAAAATCACCAATGGCATTCCGTGTACTTCTACTTCTATATGTTTTTGCTTTAAACCCCTACATGTCTAAGTAGGTCCATAGACATCAGATCCCTGCTACATGTAAGAATCTGGACAATATTTACCAACAACCATAATGTGAAATCCTGACAAACCCCTAAATACCCTTCCTCCGACCCCCCTTAAACTCACCTTACCAGCACTCCACTCACTTCTGGGTAAAGAGGAGTAATGACATTACTCAGTTCTATCAGCCACTTGCTAGGTTTGAACACTCTCACATGACCGGGGGTGTGAAGTAACCACTCCCCTAGGTCGCTGACATCAGTAATTTCAGTGCAAGAGAGGAAGGAGTGGTGAAGAATGGCTATCAAGGTGAGTAAAAGGGGGTCGGGGGGAGCTTTGCCGAGACACTGTCACCTTGCCTTGCATGGGGGTCTCTTTAAGAACCTTTTAAAGTGTTGCTTGATGTATAAAATTATTTGTGACCATTCATTTCAAACAAGAATGTACCTGACCCTTTTCTTTCCCATAGCGCTTGTGTTTTCAGATGTTTGCATTGTTGTGTGTTAAAGGGTCAGATGCATTGTTTACTATGTAGCTGCACATTGTAGAAATGAGTATGTGACTAACGCACATGCATAGGTGTGAAACCTGCCTTAATGTTTTTTTTAAATGAATACATAATAGACTATATAGTGCTTTCACCACTTTGTAAAGTTCAACTTCATAGTAAGTTTAAAAATATTTGCAGGTTTTATAACCTTTGTAAGACATGAAGAAGAAGTAGGTCATTGTTTTACTCACTAACACTTCAAAGAATACCATACAAGCTTTCCCAATAAACCCAGCCAAGCATCCACATTTTGTCACAAGATAGGAGTAAAGCCTGTAAAAAAACAAACAAATGAAGTATGAAAAGGGACAGCTAACCTTCTTACACTTGTCATCAATGAGCGGTACTACAAGGACGATGATGTTGTTGTGAAAATTGAAGTGGGAAAGGGAGATCATGAGCTCACACAAGCACATCACTGCCACCTCTGCCAGTCCTCTGTACGCCTTTAATGACACCACCTCGCTCTTCTTGGTTTTCATTTGTTTCCAATCTGTGGGAAAGATCAATCACTACATTGATGAATAAAATATTACAACACAAACAGCAGATATGAATGTGAGATCTATTATTCAAAACTGTTGGAATTTTCAGCAATATGGAATCAATTATTTTGTTTTTGTAGAACACAACGCCTAAAATATATATTACTGCAAATACAGAGCGGATCTCTGAAAACATGAAAACTAAATTACAAGCATATTTTGTATAAAGCATATCATTAGGACAATAGGAAAGAAAGCCACACTTTGTCTTTAACCAGTTGCCGTCCGCCCGTTGCAAAAAAACAGACAGACGGCACAGTCGCATTGGCGTTTTTTTTCTGTGCGCGCGCACGGGCAGGAAGAGAAACCCGTCCGATGTAAAGAGCCATTTTCGGCTGTTTCACATATACACGATCGGTGGCTCTATAGCCTGCTGATTGTGTATATGTGCTGGCTGCATGCCCCCACTCCCCCCCTTGAGTACCTCTCCCCCTATGTAATAACAATAAGTGTAAAAAAAATAAAAAAATATATATATAAATAAAAAATAAAGCCACATAAGAAAAGTTTTAAAACCCCAAAAAAATGATTAAGTTCCCCACACCCACGTTTACGCACATATAAACGTAAATACGCGTCCGGTGCAACTGCGCATGAAAACGAAAATTGCGCTACACATGTTACATATCGCCGCGAACGGCAGTTAGAGCAATCATTTTAGGGCCATCAATCACTGATGACACTAAACTGATGAGCGGTAAAAGCTTTTAAAGCGTCCCCTATGGCCAATTTTGGGTAATTTTTGAGGTTTCACGAGCGCACGCAATTTTGAAGCTTGACATGTTTGGTGTCTTTTTACCCGACGAGACCCCGTCTCGTGTATTTTAACAAAAAATTGGGTAACAATAAATGTTTTATCATTTAATATAGGGGAAACAGTTTTTTTTTTTAATTTCGGTAATTTTTCCTTAATATAGTAAAAAATAAAAACCACAGTGGTGATGAAATACCAGCAAAAGAAAGCTCTATCTGTCCCCAAACAATGGTATAAAATTAATTTCAGTACAGCGTTGCATGACGGAATAAATGTCAAAGTACCGCAGCGCTGAATACTAAAAAATGGCCTGGGCAGGAAGGTGGTTTAACACCGCGGACTTCAACTGGTTAATATAATACACAATAACCATGCTCACATTATGTTTCATAGCTCAGAAAACACACACATCGGCTTACCCTTTATTGTTTGCTCCAGATTTTCCAGATAAAATTTGTACTGACTTACTAAACCTTCTTCAAATTCTCTGAGTCTTTGGGTGTCCTTCTTGACCTGTTTTGCAAAATAAAACATTTTGTCTGAGCACTACATAACAGATTAGCAAGCAATCTCATTGAGCTGGACCAATATGAAGCTACCTATTCATTAAGAGTATCCCAGATGACAAGTGCATTGAATTTAGCACAAGCTAGCACATATGGGCCAAGGGGTAGGTGGACTTTTATTTCATTAGAATATTTGTTAAAGCCATAAACAAAAACCATCAATATCCCTGTTAACTTGTTCTAGGCCTTGTTTATATCCGTCACCAATTCCAGGCAGTTAGGAAGCAAAATATCCCACTTTATTTTTGCCAACATAGATGTAGAACATCAATTCAGGTTATGGTTAAAAAGGCATCCTAGAAACAGAGAGTTTAACCCATCTTCTTAAATCCTGTAAACTCTTCTCTACGTGAAAGGAGTGGTCAGATGAACTCTACTAAAGGGGACTGAAGGTCTGACAACCACATTCACCATTCACAAAATGTCATGCTTCTTAGAATTTTTTCGTCACGGTGGTCGAAATCAATTTCACGGCAATAACAATTAGAAATTAAAACGAAAGTTCCGAAGTCGATTTCGTTAATTCGAAATTCTAATCTGTAATTCTGTATACGCGACTTAACAGTGCCCCTTCCCTTAAACAGATACCATGTGTATGCAGGAAGAAAAAGTTCACAGGATTCAAGATAAAGTTATTTGCAATCTCTAATGTTTTTTATGATGCCTGGGGAAAGAGGAAAGCAGAATTCTAATAATCCAAATACGGTATATACATACAGAGTAGGTCCACTTTGATGCACTGCTGATAATAGGACGCTAAGCACTACCCTAAGCAATGTGTTACTTCCAAACGTGTTGTCATAGTGATTAGGTGATTATCTAATAATTCCTGTAGGAAGGAGAGCTGTTGGGTCTGAGAAACCCAATTTATCTTACAGATATGTAAAAGCCCAAAGCATGTTTTTCTACCCAAAGGTAGAATTATAAGAACAACCATTTACATAGTACCTAAAAAGGCTAAACAACCAGAAAAAAAATAAACGAATAGGAGTGATAATACTAGTATAACAAGAATACTAGATGCTGCCACATAAATGGGAGAGAGGAGGAGCGTTGCTCAAATCTGTTACAGAATAAATGAAGAAACATCATAGATGAGCTAAACTTTTGTCATGTACTGCCACAAACAGATAGACAGAAAAACACATTTTTACAAAGCAATCTTACTCCTCTATATTAAAAAAATTGCAGATGTAAATAACAGGGTCTGGACTGACACCAAAATGACTATAAAAGGGTTGAGTGTCCAATAATGGTTACACGTGACTAAAAAGCACTAGAAAGTTATCTTGGAAATGATTGATGGTTGCCATGCACCCTGTAATTTTACGATAAAACATATGAACCAATCCATCTTACACATTTCCAGGACATCAGAATAGTTTCTCTTGAACCTAAACACATGTTATAGGCAGCAAAGTCTAATAAGAACATTTTACGACCATGGTGGTAAACACTTAGGCTATATCAAACAATTCATCTATAACAAGCACAAGTCATCTTTAATAGTTCTGGTACCTCTAAATTCTTGAAAGGAAAATCGGCTGCAAATTGTTACTGTGTGTATTTGCGACCAACAGTGCATGATAAAAGAGGTTTTCCAGTTCCAGAAATAAAGTGGGAAATCTGTCCAAATATATTCCCATTACCATCAGATACCCTGGTCAGCTTTTTTTTTAGTGAGGCTTCCAATTAGCAGCAAGGCTAGCAGTGTTTAGCATACTACATGCTTCTCTCTGGTATGATGCTGCCTGGTTTCTAAGATGCAAAGCAGGCTACATAGTGGGTTTCTATGACCAGTGTAAGTTGTGCACTGGTAGCCTGAGTGCTTGCTAAATGTGACTATTAAGCATCTTTTTGTCCAAAGTAAAAACCCAACACGTCTCACCCTTGCAGTCTTTTCCTCCTCTGTCAGTGGACGTATCTTATAGGCAGGAGCAAGATCTTTAAATATTTCCATCAATGAGAGCAACACCAGCTTTCGGACAGTCACTGCTACTGTAGAATCCTGTTCCATTAGCATAGCACGCAGTTCCTTCAGCTTTCTAATCTGTTCAAAGACAAAATAATATTTGATTTCAGGATGCGATATAAAATTACCCCCAAATCTGCTTCAGCACAAAATCAATCAATTCAAATTTTTAAAATTATACCACAAAAAGTAACTGTCAACTCCTACTTCACCCCAGTAAAAGCTTTGCAGAGTCTCCTACTAAGGTGTTGTCAACCAAGCATTTTGTCATGTTTGGAACAGTATCATTACTCACATGCACAAATCCTCTATGCATGTTAGGCATGTGCAACCTTTAGCTTTTTCATATACACAAACTGACCAACAAAGCCCAACATGCAGGTCCTAAATCAAAACTTCACCCGCAGAAGCAATTTGGACCTTAACACCATCCCTAGATGCTGCAGGGATATTTTTAGAATAATAGGAGATAGGGTAGCTCAGAGTAATCGGTTTTGTTTCAGCACAAAATAAAAACAAGAAGCGTTAAACAGCTTCAAAGGAGAATTATGGGGAGAGTGAAAAACATTAATCCCCATAATTAGAACCAAAGTGTGACACTGAAGCTGTCACACGTCGGCCCCATGTATCAAGAACTGAGCAATCACTAAGTTTCCGATCATCTCCCTGCAGAGAGTGGTGACTGTCAGTCTTCACTTACTGCAGGGATTCCCTCAGTCCCTCTATCTATTCCTCCAGCACTGACTGGAGGAACGGACAGGGAGGGGGCAGGCAAAGCTGGCTCTGCCGCTAGCTGTCAATCAGGCTGCGGGGTGGATCCCAACTATATTGTCGGGATCTTTCCCGGCTGCAGTGCGGCTCTGTGCTATCAGCATATAGAGTCATAGAAGGACAAATGTTTTGCGTCACAGGAGGACATAGCAAATGTCCTCCTGTGACCCTAAAGAGAGCTATAGCCAAAAAAAGGTTAGGCCATAGTTCTCTTTTAAGCCTTATTTGAGAATAAATGGCCATTGATAAATGTTTGCTTAGTGCCCAGACAGACTAGAGAAGATATTCAGATGAGAGTAATGGCACACATATTTCTCTGTATTTATTAATACAAACCACACACACTGTTCTCTGGATCTGCAAGTATAGAGGAGGCCAAGGTCGCAATGTGAACCTTCTTCTCTTCCAGCTTTTCTCTTCTATGCTGTATCAGCTCTTCTGTACTCATCAAATGAAGTGGTTCTTCTGGCACACCTACAGAAACAGATACAACTAAATGCCATGTTTCTCTAATTTGCAAAAACGTAGAGTTGCCCAATAAATGAGATTAAAGTGTATGCAAAGCCAAAAACTTTTTATTTTTAGTTTCTTTTTTTAAATAAAGTTTTGGATATAGTGGGGAAGGATTTGAACCAGTGTCAGGTATTTAACTATGTGCGGCTATGTTGGAGAGATTTCCCTGGCTTACTGTTCTGCTGACAAAATTTTACCAAACGTAAAGTGAACTCTACAACAGAAAACAAAATGATACTTTTCTTTAGTAGAGTAAGGTAAAGTTACACCGGCCATACACTCATTTTTTCTTTTTTCAACCTGCGGGCTGAACGAAGATAACAAAACAAATTCCTCCATCAACGCTTAAGAGCATTGATCAAGAAATCTCCCGCTATCTTCATTGTATTCTGACAGCTCATTAGCTGCCCACTCTGATCATTCAAAGATTTTCCAACCGACTCCTTCGATTAGCTGATAGAGGGATGCCAGTCAAAAGGGTGACCACAGCAGCATCCACAAGGGTAATCTGGTATTATGAGCTTGTGATCATTAAACATATTTTGTTCTTTGATTCAATCCAGTCTCTACTCTAATCACATATCTTAGAAAACAAAAAAATATGTATTTATATATTACTGTATTGCAGGTGCCATATATGCCAATATAGGAGTTGTTATCCTCAGTTCCATACTCCCTCCTGCATGTTTCATTGGATTCCATTAACATCACCTCCCAAGTTTACTTTATTTCAGTCAACTGATAAATCCCTGCTGTGTAACTAGTTCATGTAGCATTACTAGCTTGTAACACAGTTCAGAACAGAAGAGGACTGCGCAGATTCATGTAATATAGATTGCAAACCAGATAACAATTCACCTTCATTTCCTTGCACCTCCATTAGCGCTTCCTGGCCCTCATCTTCCTCCTCAGAATGTACAACTGCAAAGGATGAAAATCTGTGTTATATTACAGAGCAATATGCACATAACACACACAAGATATAAGAATGTACAATTACCTGGCTTTTCTTTGCTTTGGGGAATAATGCCCCTTTTGTCTTTAATGGGCAGCAGGTGAATGAGTTCTTTTTCAGGTTCAGTCTTCATACGTCTGGGCATCTTCTCATACTTCTCAATCACATTATCCCCTTTTCTTTTTGTGGCATGAACTGGTTGACTGAAGCAGAATTAGAGGAAAGCATAAAAAGTAAATTTTGCACACATGATCCATACATATTATCTGCTCACATTGGCAGAATACTATTTGAAAGGCACTGCAGAAAAACTACATCTACTTTTCTAGAGGCTGGAAGTGGAAGCACTTCACATAAAAAGTTGACACAAAATTGTTTTCTGCAATTACATGTACATTAGCTTTCATTTACCCTTTTACTTAAGAGTTCTCACAAGATTCATTATTTCAGAAAAGCATACAACCTGAATTTATAACACTGCTTTTTTACAGTCTAAACTAGGGGTAGCCAAACTCTGGCCCTCCAGCTGTGGTGGAACTACAAATCCCATGAGGCATTGCAAGATTCTAATGGCCACAGACATGACTCCCTGAGAGAGATGCATCATGGGATTTGTAGCTTCACCACAGCTGGAGGGCCGGAGTTTGGCTACCCCTGGAACTGCTGCTAAGCCATGTCATATAAACCGTTCTAATGTCCCTGAGCTCTTCATACATTTTCAGGAGTTATTTTTTTCAGAACATGAAACCTTCTGGTTTGAGATCTCATTTATATTGCACTATGCCTTTGCTATTTTTTTTTTTTTTTACATTAACTTGTTCCTGTAACTGCTCTTTAACAGCCCTACAAGTAAATGGGTTCTCCAGAAAAGATCACAGTAGAGCATCACACATTCCGTACGCTGACTCCAGGAACAGGCTATCAGACTTCAGTGAATTAAAAATGTCATCATGGGGACCAGAGAATAGATGAGCAAAGGTACTGCAATACACAGGGATGTAAACCGGTAAATCTGCGCTTCTGGAGAGAGGTGGTATTTGGAATGAGAAATTAGATGGATTAAGTTAATAAATTAAGAATAAGTGTGAATAAATAAACCCAAAGCTGCTCTGAGAAGGGATGAATCCTAGTATGATCGAAAAAAAACACAAAGCGCTAAGGGTAAATGTATGAGCAAAAAAGTGAGCTATAAGTAATTCTGGCGAGGCCAGTCTAAAACCTAATATATATGTATAAAACAGGACTAGCTTCCTAAAAATATATAAACCCACTCTAACTATAATGCAATAAACAATTAGAACCAATAAAATTCATTCCAAAGATACACTGCTATTTTTGCACATTTGTATATTTGCACACGGAATCTACCGTTCACCTGCCACTCGAGAGGGACAGTTTGGATCAATTTCTAGCACACTGCTATTTTTGCACATTTTTATATTTGCACACGGAATCCACTGTTCACCTGGATTTTTTTATGTATTGGACACTGTTTTGACGTTTTAAACATTTTTCGTTTATATAGTTCTTTGGAATTAATTTTATTGGTTCTAATTGTTTATTGCATTATAGTTAGAGTGGGTTTATATATCTTTAGGAAGCTAGTCCTGTTTTATACATATATATTAGGTTTTAGACTGGCCTCGCCAGAATTACTTATAGCTCACTTTTTTGCTAATACACAGGGATGCACAGCAGAGCAAGGGTTACCATTGGGTGACATGCAAAAATAGGTTTCCTGATGCAGCACTAAATTATGATTAATGTGTTATTTCTAAGCTTCAAGGGTTTCATCTCCAAGTTTTGCCAATTATTTCTATTATGGATAAAGAAAACTCATCTTGCACTGCTTCATAAAAGGTGAACAACGCTATAAAACGTTCTTTCATTTTAAAACCCAACTCCAGCCAAAATATTTTTTTCTTTTGGCCAAGCTTGGAAAAAGTAAATGCTTCTGTAAATTTGTTGGAATTCTGCCCTGGAACCCACAGGGGAAATTTCACCTGACTTCCCGTCCCTCTGACAGCAGGACAAGTGAGAGAAGCGGTTGTCATCAGGGCAGGAATATACCAGCAGTAAGAACCTTACAGAGCTGCTAGCTCTTCCCCATTTTAATGGAAAAAGGTGCATTGTTGCAGGCTCTGTCCCCACTTGAGAAATTTACCATCGCTTTTAGCCCTAAAAGAAGTGGGGCTAAAATCAAGCCAATGGGGACACAGGCTGCAAACAAAACATGAAGTGGGCCTTTACCTACTGGATAAACTTTTTCTTAGCTGCTTCGTCCCCTTACCCTCTTATAAAATAACATAGTTGAATGTTTGTTTGTTTTTTTAAAAGAAGTTTGGGGGCCACCCCTTCTTGATTACTTGCCTTGGCAAGGATGACATAAGCCTCACCCATCCAAGGAGGTAGTATTTTAGTGAGGGGCACACATGCGCTGCAAGACTTCATGCATGCACAGACATGTTGTGGGTCTGGTTCAAGTATTTTAGACCTGGCTAACACCCACAGCATGTCTGTGCATGCACAGAATCTCCCAGCAGTCTCGGGTCTGAGCCAGGTCCAAAATGCTTGGACATGCTGATTGGCCTGGAATCCGGCTGATTCACATGCTGATTGGCCGGGAAGCTGGCTCCATGCTTCGTCACTTGGTGAGCCAGCTTCCCGGCCAATCAGGAATCCGGCATGGCATGCAATGACTTGCCATCTGGCTTCTTGATACCAGAAGTTCTGGTATCGGGATAAGTATCAGAAGCATTTATGCGAGTAAGAGTACTCGCCCAAATACTTGGTATCGGAACTGATACTAGTATTGGTGCATCCCTAGTTAATAAAGACAGACGGCATCATATTGCCCATAGTTCAACTTAACTACATTTCAATTTTAATTTATAGATCCTGAAATCTCCAACTCTCAACAAATGTTTCATTGAAAAATGACAACCTGGAAGTGTTTTATATCTTCTTGGTGTACAGAATGCCCTTGGAAATCACATTTTGCATTTTGCGCGATTCACAGATTTCCCAGGAGTTAAAATCCAGATATCCTCTGCAAATATGAATCTGTAAAATGTGTGCATAAAGCTTTGCAATAAAGAAGGAACTGTTTGTCTACTCAAAAATAAAATGACACTTTAACTGTGTGACAATACCTGTCGGAAAGGTCTCTGGTCAGGAATGAAGCTCTCTGAGCCATCTCCCGCATAAGCTGCAGGTCATCTTCATCTATCATGTCCAGGGGGAGGGACTCTTCATCCAGCTCATTTTCTTCAATGGCTACAAAAGGGTAAGGGTTGATACACAATTATTGGGTTATTTCACCTTTTTTTAAAAAAAATTAAAAGATGAACTGGCTCATAACACCCCCCTAACCCCTGCGGTAGCCACTGCAATTAGTTCCAATGTATACCATTCCCAATCACCCACGCCAGCCAGTATAACCGTCCCAATGCGTGAAAATTGAACAGTCCCGCAGACTGAGTGCAGCCATGTGAACATGCTTACAAATGAGAATCTCATTGATCAGAGAGATTCTCATTGGTCAACACGGACTAGTGGCCACACTGACCAATGGGGAAGTCAGAAGGGTGCTGTCAATTAGTTCCCCTTTGCGTTTTTTTTATAAAAGCATTAACTTAAACTTTAATGCCAACACCAAAATGTATCTAGGAAGCACTAAAAAAAAAATCATGGCAGCTATGAACTATCTGCATTATAAAGTGTGATACTTCATCATACTACATCAATAAATATGGAACATGCTAGTATTAACAAACCACATTGTTATTTTAGAAAACAAAAGTACCACTCTCTTGATATATACAAAATCTTCTGTTCCCCAACTTCCAGCCTAGGGGGCTCAGATCACAAGGCCTCTGACCACCACCCATAACTAAAGAATCTTCTGTTTTAACCAGCAGTTGGATAATGGGGAAATAAAAAGATTGCCTCATGTACATTAATAATCACAAGCTATACTCAGAGACAACGTTTGTAATATTGATAATGTACATTACATTAATCTGATATCTTTCCCATATTAGAAAATATTACAGTTTCCCTTTCATACATACTACAAAGGGAACCCTGTGTACTGATATTTATTAAAGGCTACATTCAGATGGCCCTTCTGTTGGTACCTGGCTTCTTCTTCACAACATCCAGGAGTACAGGTCTTTTGGAGCTGACATCCCGCACAGCCTCCCGCAGCTTCTTCTGCTCTTTCCTGTGTTTCTTTGCAGAGCTCTCCTGTTTATACTGCTTGTTCTTTAACTTATTTTCAAGTTTGAGTTTGCTGGTCTTCAGCAGCTTGCGAAAGCTGGGCGCTTGTTTCCGATGTCTCCTCTAAATAAGAGGCAAGAGAAAAGTTTTTTGTTTTAAAGCTAGACGTGCTCACTGAAATACATTTCTGCATTTTATAAGAGACATTGTCATTTTGCTTATGCAGGACAAAGTGACAAGTGTTTGCCGATAGCCCTTCTTCCTCAACCAAGGTATACTGACCTGTCATTGCTGCTTTAGTCTATTCTGAGTAAGCTGCAGTGTTGAAACATACCTGTGCTGATGACACCACTGCTCCCCACACGTGGCAGTGTTCAGGCCTTTGCAATTTGCCCCTCAGCCCAGAACAGTGTCACCCAAGAGAGGTAACATGCACGCCCATACCTGGAAGACCTATAATAGCAGATTTACGTATTCTGTGATAGTTGGCATCTTTACAGGTTCTCAGTAAGCACAGGGAGAAAGATCCCTGTATTACTAGAATTTAAAACAAACTGTTTTAGGGCTTGTTCACACCGTGTCCGGATCACGGCCAGACCTGAACAGTTTGTTCCTGGACCAAAAAAGCATCCCCATGTATCCCTAAAGGTATTTCTGGCCTCCGTTCACACCAGCGCAGTCCATCCCGGACCAGACAAAAAAAATACTGCTGGTCTCATTTTCTCTGGTCTGGAATGCAGTGGAACTCATGGAAATGCATCAAATGCACTGGACTGCACCTAAAAGCCTATTTTAAGCTAAAAAGAAAAAACAGAGCATAATTGTGATAAAAACACGGCAAAATGCACTGTACGACATTTGCAGATCTGGTCCGTATATGGTATGGACCAAGAATGGCGGATGATATAAAGCATAGAAGCCTCAGGTGTGGTTGTAATAACATGAAGACCTTATATTTGCAACAAACTAAACAGCTACCTTTGTAACTATTACGGTTTAGCTTGAAACAATGATGATGTACACAAGTGCTGTTTCCTAGTTCATGTTTTGTGGACATCCATGAAGATCCAGGAACCCACTCAAACAAAAAACAGAACATACAAATTTGCCACTCTGTAGTTTAATTCTTTTCTCCCTGCACAGGATTTTCACAAAAAACACATACTGCACATAGACATGTAGATGTTTCCTAAACCAAATGGATTTATTTGGACTGTGCAACAATCACTAAGTCAGAGGGCAAATTTACAGGTCAAAAATGTTAAATCCCAACTGGAGGCAAATTTAGAGGGGATAAAAAAAAGTCTCCCAGTGGCAGGTAAAAACAAACCAAGCACTCTGGAAAGTGAAGGAAGAAAATTACTGTCAAGAGTTCGGCTTTAAAAGAGAACTATGGGGTAAGTGTTTTCCCCCATAGTTCTCCTAAGGGTCACGGGAGGACATAAACTAGCGCCCTCCCGTGACCCAAAGCTCAGTATATCTGATAGTATACTGAGGCCGCCGCAGCCGGATCCCGACAATACTGTCGAGATCCACCCAGCTATCTAGAGGCAGAGCCAGCTGCACCCGCCCCCTCCATTCCGCCAGTCAGTGCTGGAGAATCGGAGAGGGGGGGAGATGCAGGGAGATGATCGAGAAGTGAGCGAGCAACTGTATATGTTCGCTCACTTCCCAATCTATTTTTCCAGCAGAACCCCTACGCTAGAGAAGGCCGTTTGCCTTGATCTGAATGGGCTCAGTTTACACCACCACATTGCACCACACTGTGCCCATAGAACTTAATGAAATGTCACTCAAGACAAAAACAAAAAACAGTGCAATGCGCTGTGATCGGTGCCTCAGCACTGTGCCTGGTAACGCACCCCAGCAGCTGTTCATTGTGTGGTATGAACCCGTCCTAAATGTTCTTACTGACCAAGCTTTAGAAGTAGTATTTCTAAATAGAATATCAAACGTATAAATATCACATGAAGGGACTGTCAGCCATGGCTTTCCTATCCAGTATTACCAGTAACAGTTTACAAAGTAAAGGCTGTCTGGGAACTCTTCACAAGTATGTCAAAGAAAACCAGTGACTGAGAAAATCTTACAAGGTAAATCTAGGAGGGAATATGTCCTCCGTCATATGAGGGAGTTTATTCTACTTAAAGAACTCCAGTAGTTTCAAAAGTTAACCCTTGTAGTGTAATATCCCTGCACTGCAAGGGTTAACTGTTAATTTTTCTCTAAAGGATCAAATAAAAAAAATATACTCACCCAATCCTCAATCACGCCTGGCTGCTAGACTAATCCCCGCAGCCTCTTCTCTGGGCTCCAATGATCTAAGCCCTGCTGACATTGTCACATGTAATACAAGTCCATTCACCTGCCACAGACGTGAGGATGCCCAGGGACATACTGCAGCCTGAGTGGAGGATGGAAGATTGGATAAGTGTATCTTTATTTTTTTGCCCCGGTCCCTAGAGAAAAAATGAGCAGTTAAGGCCCACTGCAAGGGTTGACTTTTTATACACCTGGTGTTCATGTTTAAGGTAATATTTAGAAGTGACATTTTCCAATTTCTTAGTATAAGGCATAACCACTGACCCTCTTTCTTCCTCATGATGGCAAAGATTGGCCGGACACAGGGTGTCACTGGTGTGAAATATGGGTAAAAAGGTTAGCGTAGTGTGAATTCAAGTGTATGTCGAACTAAATGCCAAATGAAAATATATGTTTGCACCTGCACACCTAGATATCATAGCCTTTTGTATTGTAACTACCAATCTTCTAAATGTTATCTTATCTTTTACACTGTCATTCTCAGTGATGGATATGAGGTTTTTTGTTTTGCAGAGTGACAACCTTTATCCTCTGCTTTGCAGTGCAGCTGTGTTGTCTCCCTTCCGTGCACGCACTTGCTGTAAAGACTACAGACAGTAATGCCTATGCACAGTATGCCTGGTCTCTCTGCTTGCCAATCGTTTCTGGACATGCTTCATGCACTACACCGTTGCCAAAGCTGAAGGTAAAGCAGCTTGGCAAGGGGCATCAATCAGATGCCATTCCTCATCTACAGGCAGAAGCGTGCAAGGGCTGCTGGGAACTGAAGGAACTAACAGGGATAAGAGTGGAAGTGATGCCCCATTGCTGCCCAATGACAAGACACCAGAGGTCACCAGACCACCGAATATGCATGAAATGAAAAGTACCTTGGAGACCATTTGTGAAGCTTGCACATCATACTCGCTTGTCTGATATGGATACGTGGCACCCCGCTCATTTGATATGGATACGTGGCACCCCGCTCATTTGATATGGATACATGGCACCCCGCTGGCTTGATACGGAATGCATTTTATAGGAACGCATGGCACCCTACTTGTTTTTACAGGAACACATGGCACCCCGCTGGCTTTACAGGAGCGCATGGCACCCCGCTGGCTTTACAGGAGCGCATGGCACCCCGCTGGCTTTACCGGAGCGCATGGCACCCCGCTGGTTTTACCGGAGCGCATGGCACCCCGCTGGTTTTACCGGAGCGTATGGCACCCCGCTGGCTTTACAGGAGCGCATGGCACACCGCTGGCTTTACAGGAGCGCATGGCACACCGCTGGCTTTACAGGAGCGCATGGCACACCGCTGGCTTTACAGGAGCGCATGGCACCCAGCGGGTTTTAACTGAAGTTTTCGCATCTCCCAAGTAAACATTTCCCAATAGAAATGAGGAGGCAGCCATTGCTTATCACCTTCTGAAAGTGCTGGATGTTATGTTTATGGCTTCTGTCATTGATCCAGAAGAACGAACATTTGGGAAGTCTTTATCCGCATACTTGTTCCTGGTCAGTGACTGTAAATATTAAAGCTAGAGGGTGTGTGTCGTCCAGTATTTGGAGAAGTCACCAACAACACTCTCCTCTCATGAGTAGTGTATGATCGTCAGGCTTCTCAATGACTGAACAGAACTCCATTTATTTCTATCAGCAGACCAGTGACTGGGGGCTTCAGCGGCACATTGACAGGTCAGTCCCCATACTAGTCATTCACTCACCGGCTTCATGGTGTAATCTCTGTACAGCTCCGCTCTGTTCCACACGTGTGACTACAGGAAGTGACCACAGACACTCCAACACAGGCAAGACCAGCCCGGTGGTGTGTGCAGCTTTGTATGAGCGCCCCCTGCTGTTTACAGACATTAATCATCCGCCTAAAACACAGGCTACTCCAGCATAGGAAGACTACAGGCATAGGGCAGGGCTGGAATGTACAGGCGGTAATGTAGCGCAGCGTGGGCGCTGGTAAGACTCTGAAAGGGAGGAAGGGAAATGAGCTAGTAGTAGATGTTAGAACTGACAGGACATGAGAGCTGCAGCATAGGGCGAGAGGCTGAATAATAATGAGTCTGAGGGGTTACTACTACAGCTCCACACAGGCTGGGACTGGCTCCAGAGTATGGAGGATGATCTGGGGCCCCTGCTACCTTAGCAAACAAAAAAAAGGCATGCTGACTGCAATTGTGCTGCGGAGTGACCCCTTGATCTCCAAAAAATTGCCTGGCCCCTATGCTTGCATGGGTGACCAATGCTGCCCCTGATGGTTACCGGGGGTGGTCGTTCCAATCCCCGACCCTTGCCGGGGGTTGATCACTGCCAGCCCTGAACCCTTGCAGGTGGTGATCATTGCTGGCTCTGACCTTTGCTGGCGGTGATCATGTATGGTGTAAGACTCGGGTCACGCCCTTGCACCTGCATTTCCCTGTGTTCTTGTGCCATTGTGATGTGCATTTCATGTGTTCTGCATTCTTTAGTTTGGCCAATGAAAGCCAAAGTAGAGGTTATTAGGGGGTGGGGGATTGATGTCATGCGCTAAAACACACAAAAATGCATGCTACATGCATTTTTCATGTACTGCCATGCCAAGTCTAGGTGGTCAAAAACACGCGTTGATGCACCAAAAAAACTCACCCATACAATATTTTTGCCAATGTGTGTCAGCACACTGCACAGGTATGAACATGTCCGATAGAAGAGAATGGTGATCTTCTTGTTGGGCAATGCACATTAAATCACACAGGTGTGGACCAGCCTAACTCCTGTGTATGTTACATGTACTAGGTGCTGCTCCAGGTCGGTCCACTTGGATCCGCTAACGGTGCACGCACTAGTCACAAAATACACTGTAACTAAAAGGAAACGCGGTGCTCCTGTATAAATTGAAATTCGGTGTGTACTCTTTAATTCATCAATTGACATACAGCATGTGTCTAAGACAAAATCTCTAACACGTTTCACGCATACGTCTGCTTAATCATAGAGCAGATAATGTGAACACAGCATAGCCATTTATAGGAAAAACACCCCCACCAAATCTCTTCCCACCTATCGGTGTTAACCCATAAATTCCATTTTCCATTGTAAAATATTACATCTTATTCATATGAATATTGGTTTTACATATGCTGTATGCCAATTGATGAATTCAAGATTACACACCAACCTTCAATTGATACAGGAGTGCCGTGTTTCCTTATAGTTACAGTGGATTTCCTGTGTAAGTTACCCGGCACTCACGGCATGCTGAGACTGTACAACGAGATGCATTTGTGGCTCAGTGTGCAATTTAAAAAAATGCTAGCAGGCATAGAAGATGCATTAATAACAATAAAGACATAGATAATCTTTTGTGTTATAAAAAGCTACCTCTTATTATGTTTTTAACTACCGTATTTTTCCGTCTATAAGACGCCCCCATGTATAGGACGCCCCCCCCCCCCCACTTTTCTTACCCAAAATTCAGAAATCAATATTTTCCATGCTCTTTTGCATAACTGATTACATCCAGTTTAAATTTTGCAGAGTAAGACAGCCGCTTACTGGTACCGGTGTTTTTTTTGTTTTCTGACATTTTTATGGGCTCGCTGTTGCATCTGGGCACTGGCTACACGCTCTCCGTAGCATCAGCTGACATCAGGTATATAAGGCTCATGATTGGAGGAAACCTGTTAGCTTGTCTCTGCAATCGGAAGTTTCACTCGTGAGGCTAGTTTGCAGAGGTATCGGCAGTTTCGCAACCGCGGTTCTCCTCTCGGCCCCCCGTGTATAAGGCGCCCCTCCATTTTTAGGTAAATATTTTTACAAAAAAGTATAGTCTTATACATGGAAAAATACAGTATTCACTTAATTTATGCTTTAATGCTATATGTTATGCTTGTTTTGTTTGTACTGTTTTTATGCTTATTTTTGTTTTGTTGCTCACTGTGTTCTCACTCACATACAGGATGATTACTTGGACACTGTGGTTAAATGAAAGTGTATGACCACGTGTCTCCAGTTTAATGCATAGCGGTGAAAATTCTGGATAGAACACACTTTCAAGTCAGGATGAAGAGCCTGTTATGAATTGATACTATGGCATTCATTAATATTGCTGGCAGACTCATTGAGCCCTATAGTGGAGTCCTCGTAGGAGAATGTCTAAAGACTTACTCTGCAGCCATGTCTGCCACTATAACTGATGTCATAACAGAAAAACTCAGACCTCCCTTTGTCAACACATGCATGGAGCAAGCCTGAACACCCTGATGGAGAAGAATGTGAGCTAAATTTCAGAATACCCAAGAGCCATTTCTGTGTGGCCAGATTCACCAGTACGCTTTAATCAAGATGAATTCCCCTAATGATAGGGGAGCGATAACACAGAGGACAACTTCTTGTGCTATTGAGGCTGTAATATGGAAGCACTACACTGCCTTACATGTATCTCATTTAGTATGGTATTAGGCCAGGTGCTGTCTTTGTAAGGCAATATAGTGCTACCATATTAGGAGTGATAACACAGAAAGGGCATCCCTTTATCGATGCACTAATACGGAAGTGTTATACTACATCTGGGCTGTGCTATCGGGCTATGGGCTTGTGTCAATGGCCTCAGTTTGACATACGTTTAGGATGCTTCTGAAATCATTTACCATTCATTGACTGGTGCAGTTGACACCTTTCTGACCTGCTTGTGGCATCCTCATTGTGGAATACTTTGACAACCTCCTGTTTAGAGAACAATCAGCAAGGGCTCAGTTGAACGCTCCTCTGATTTTCCAGACGTTATAGGGTGTGGGGGGTCCTGAACCTTCAGAAGTCCTTGCTGGACTCCTCACTTGCCGTATTTGGGTCTGGTCCCAGACACATCTTGGGACAGAGTATTCCTCCCTCTAGAGATTCTCTGGTCTCGGGTTTGAAATATTTAATCCGCAATTTGTTCAAATATCAACTTTTGCAGGAGAGTCTTGGAGTTGATGGTAGCCTCCTTTTGAGGCAGATCCCTTGGTACAGTTTCACTACAGAAATATGCAACATTTTGTTTTTTTTGGGACAACTCAGTCCCATCTCAGAACATGCCGGTTCAGTTGAAGCCAAAATCCAGGCTATGCCTAGCTTGGTGGCACTGGAATCTGGAGTGGGGGGGGGGAGGTCCTTTATTGCTGTCTTTTTGGAAGATTCTCACTATGGGCTCCAGCCTGAGCACGCCTAGGAACTTTACTTCTTGTGAGGACTATCATCAGACGTGGAATATGAGTCTATGGGCTTTCATCCAAGGTGCTTCTTCATGGCAAGAATCCTCTCCTTGCAGGTGGGTCTTGATCAATGTCTGGCACTTAGTATAATCAAGGATCATGTTACTGCACTTTCCATTCTGTTTTAGAGGCCGTTGTCCTCTCACGCTTTAAGACCTTTGTACAGGAGCTTTCCCATGTGGCTCCCTCTGTCCATTTCTCAATGACTCTGAGGGATCTCAAACTAGTACTCTTTGCACTTCAGAAACTGCCCTTTGAACCCATTAAAGATAGTCCTCCCTCTACTCCTAACCGCAAGGTGGTTTTCCTTGTAGCCACCACCTCTGTGAGGTGAGTATCTGAACTGGAGGCCTTATCTGGCAAAGAACCCTTTTTGGTCTTGCATATGGACAAGGTGATATTGAGGCCCAGGATTTCCTTCTAAGGTTGTTTCTGCATTTCACCTCAACCAGGACATTGCTCACCCATCTGTCTCTCCTACTCTGGTTCATTAAAAGGAAATTCCCTTCCATTGCCTTGAAGTCGTTTGGGCTGTGAAAGTCTACCTCACAGCCATGTCTTCCTTTAGCAAGATTGATTCCCTTTGTTATTCTGGATGAGCCTCAGAAGGGCACCTGGCTTCTTGTTCCACCATTTCTTGGTGGCTCAGCCAGACCATTATTTAAGCTTTGGCATCAGGCAACGGTTTCCCAGACCTGTAATGCCATCACCTGGGCTTCTGTTTAAACATTCTCTAAGTTCTACAAAGTGGGAATTTCTGCCTCATCTGATGCCAGCTTTGGGTGCAAGGTCCTTAAGGCAGCTCTGTGACCTGCACCCAGTTCCAAGTTCTTGTGGTCATGTTGGGTGTGCTAGCGTTTGTTTACTGTTGCCTACCCCTCATTTGGATTGCTTTGAAACATTCTGAAGGTTTAATAGTTCCCATGCTCAACAATAGACAAAAAAGAAAATAGAATTTTTGTCATGAAATCCTGTTCTTGGAGTCCATTGAGGGTCACTGGTCTCACCCCTCTGTGTTTATGAATATGCTCTTGGCAATGCTTGAAACAAAACTGTAACTTGCTGGTAGCAGAATAGTTCTCTCCTGGGCTGGCCTACAGGTTTGTTTTTTTTTGCCAGTGTGCAATCCTCCTGTAAGTGGCAGTATAACACGAAGGCTTAATACTTCCTGGGTCCCTTAATGGAGTCCAGGCAAAAGATTTTACAGCGAGGACAAAAATTATAGAATTCTTTCATTCAAGAAGTTGTTAAAAGAAAACTAAGCCTATATATACACCCCTTCAATACCAGGCCTGGTTTTCAGTTTTTTAGTGTTGCATTGGTTTGACATTTGCCTGGTTATGCAATACTGTACTGCTGACATATTTTTGGGGACATTAATAAAACAATTTTTTGTATAGAGGTGGTTAAAGCATGGAACTTGGGTAAAGGGGAATTAGATACAGCTCATCATTGATGTGTTGGTCAAACACAGAGGGAGGAATGTGGGGGGAAGGGGGTGTTAATGTACAGGTCACATACAGTGGGACG